GTCGTCTGCCCACTCCCCTCCTCCCGAGCATCCTGATCCTGGTCAAACTCTGAATACTGTAATCCTGCCATTCTACAAGCCTGATGATAGGAAAATTCTCAAGAGTTCCTACATGGGGGGTTTCCGAAATTGGTGTTCCTCATGGGCGCTTATTACAATGGAATCCTGCTATTGGGGCTCTATTTGGGGGGTCCCCCGATTTTTCGTAAACCCCCACATCTGACCCCCAATGCCTTAGAAGGGAAAGTCTCACGTACCCCACACCCCCCCCCCCCCCCCCCCCCCCTAAACCCTAAACCCTAAACCCTAAACCCTGAACCCAAAACCCTAAACCCGGGGCGCTAGAGGTGGGGTTGGGAAATCGAGCAGGCTTCTTCTTGAGGGGGCTTTAAACCAGACGACGGGAGGTATCATGGGCTCTTAATATCGGCCCTTACGTTCTTCAAAGGGTATGTAAGGAGTCCCCTAATCAGGGCCCATATTTAGGGACCATGTAACCACCCCAAGACGAAAGACAAGCCGAAAGACCCACCAACCTTTACGAGGCAGCAGTAGTGCCGCCAAATCAAGAGTACATTCTCGATGATTAAGTTTACCTTGTTTCCTCTGGGTGTTTTCAAAACTCAAAGGCTAATTCTTAGGACTCTGGAAGTATAGGCTCAATTAGCCATAACAAAACCGTAACCCCAAAGAAACCCTAAACCCTAACCTGAAACCCTCAAACCCTGAAACCCTAAGTCAAGTCCTCAAACCCTAAATCAAACCCTCAAACCCTCAAACCCTACAACTTTCAAACCCCAACCCCTCAAACCCACGACCCTACACCCTACATAAACATTAGCCTCAACCCTCAAACCCTCAAACCCTAAAACGCTACAACTCTAAACCCTAAACCCTAATCCCCAACACTCTATCACGTCCCATCTCTTGGCTACACTCAGAAGGGTAGCTAAAAATTCGCAATTTTAGCTGCCTTATTAAGAAACCCAACAAACCCAAAATTGGCTGAGGATCTAAAGTTACAGCAACGTACCACAAAGTGAAAGATATCTTAATAGGGTTCAGGGTTGAGGGTACTTATAGGGTTTAGGGCAACTGGGTTTAGGATCTAAAGTTACAGGAAAGAACCACAAAGATCTCTTCCCGTAAGGGCCCGGCAGGTCTGGCCGATCCACTCCTCGGAGCTGGAACAGGCGAGGCTTGGGGACGTCGGGAGCGTTTGGGCGTTAGGGTTTAGGGTTTAGGGTTTAGGGTTTAGGGTTTAGGGCTTAGGGCTTAGGGCTTGGAGCCTAGGGTAGTCCAGCTGCAGCTTAGCAGAAGAACCTACAACACAAGCGGTTTTAAGTTAAAGAAGTAGTCGATGATTGAGGTTGAGGTCCTTTAGCTTGGGAGAACACCCTAAACCCCAAACCCCAAACCCCAAACCCCAAACCCGAAACCCGAAACCCCAAACCCGAAACCCTAAACCCTAAACCCTAAACCCTAAACCCTAAACCCTAAACCCTAAACCCTAGTAACCCTTAGCCCTGGACCTTGGGGTCGGTTACGTTTTAACCCTGAGCTCTGAACGATGTCAACAACCCCTACAGGATAAGCCCTAGAGTCCTAAACGGTTTAGGGTTTAGGGTTTAGGGTTTAGGTTTTAGGGCTCTGGCAATACACGCCACACCCCCATCGGCTGGCGAGGTGCGCACTTCGCAAAGCCTGGTGGGCAGTGCATCGCAGCCTTGGTGTGTTAGGCTTTGCAGGGATCATAAGGTGCTTGGCTGCACTCAGGAGGGTAGCTATAAATTTTAAACCTGTAGCTGCCTGAATAAGAAACCCAATAAACCCAAAAAAGGCTAAGGATCTAAAGTTACAGTAAGGTATCACAAAGGGTGTGGGAGGCACACAGAGCCTAATTTCTAGGGTTTGGGGATGTTATAGGGGTTTAGGGCCGAGGGCTTCAGGGAAATGGCTTAGCGGGTTTTAGGGCCACATGGATTTCATACGCCCCACCAAGACGCCACGGTCTCAACACGCTTCTAAACGGCACCTGGACATCACCCTGTGGACCGGAAGCGCCGGAACCCTAAACCCTAAGCCAAACACTACTAAGCGAAAACGCAACCCTAAACCCCGAACCCCAAACCCTAAACCCTAAACCCTGAATCCCGCTTGTATGAAAAGATGTGAGAAAACGTTTGTGTATATTGCAAGTTTCAATGTGACGCGGGTTGGTCTTGCAAGTTTCTTCCGAAGCCTTATACCATACGAACAAGCGCCCCAGACCCTAAAATCTGGTGTAGATACCTGCTTATTCAAGGAGACGCCCTAAACCCTACAAACCCTAAATTCTTGCTGCTGTTGGAGATCCGAACCCGAAAGCCTTTCACCTTAAAGAAAACCTACTTAAACCTTACATAAACTTCATAGATCCTAGAACCAAACCCTGAACCTAGCCTTAAACCCCTAAACCTTCTAAGCCCCTAAACAACCCTGAGCCCGATACACCCCTAAACCCCAAACCCCCACTAAACACCCCTAAACAACAGCCTTAAACCCTCACCCTATGCCCTCACACCTTGAAGCTGGCGCTTGGTAGTCCGATTCAGGAACTAGGTTTTGGGTTTGGGTTTTAGGAACCCTAAACCCCAAACCCCAAACCCTAAACCCTAAACCCCAAACCCTAAACCCTAAACCCCCAAACCCCCCAACCCTCTTCAGGGTTTCGGGGGCTTTCGGTTTTTACGTTCAGGGCTTCGGGTGGATGACCCAGGTGGGCTCTTCCTTGGGGTCTAGTGCAGGGTTTTGGGTTTAAAACTAACCCTAAACCCTAAACCCTAAACCCTAAACCCCAGGGTTTAGGCTTAAGGATTTGAAGGTCCTGAGGCCAGCGCGCCAGCCTGTAGGGCGATCAGCACCAGCAGCGAGCGCATGGCTGCCTTGCAAGGGGGATGAGGGCTTGGGGTTTAGGGTTTTATACGGTTTCACAGGGTTTGGGGTTTTTAGGGTTTAGGGTTTGGGGTTTAGGGTTTAGGGTTTAGGGTTTAGGGTGTAGAGAACCTAAGCTCCCAAACCCGGAGCGAATAGCAGAAACCCGAAACCCTCCCTTGGGTGTAGAGGCTTCACCTAAACCCTAAACCCTAAACCCTAAATTCACACCTACAGGGGGTTCTGAAGCCGAAGCCAGCAAAGCCTCCATCCTAGGAATGAATAAACGGGTGCCCTTTTTGGTTTAAAGGGACCTATAAGGGTTTCGGGTTTAGGGCTTAGGGCTTCGCAAAAAATGAGAGAAAAAAGAAATACGGGCTTCAGCTTCCCAGAGTCCTCAGGGATATAGGGTTGATAGGGTGATGAGGGATTCGTGGGGTCACCGGGCTTAAGTGTAGAGCTGTTTGTACCCCCAAATCCCAAAGACCTGAACCCTAAACCATAAGCCCTAAACCCCAAATCCTAAAAAACCCTAAGCCCTATACCCTAAACCCTAAACCCTAAGCCCTAAACCCCAAATCCTAAACCCAGGCATCCCTCCTCGACAACCTCCCCGGCCTCAAAATAGGCTAAGCCCTAAACCCTAAACCTGATGGGAGGCGGGGGGGGGTTTAGGGTTTAGGGTTTAGGGTTTAGGGTTTTGGGTTTTGGGTTAGGGTTTAAGGCGGGAAACCCGAAACCCGAGGGGGGCATCCGAAAGAGTGCTTGGTGGTGTGCCCCGGCTTACCCGGAGTCCCTGTTTCAACTAACCCCCCATCACGCTGCAACGGGTTAGTGCTGAGGGTTCAGGGTTTAGGGATACAGGGCAACCCTGAACCCTAAGCCCTAAACCCGACCAACCCCAGCCTAGTGTCTCAAGTTGTCAGTGGCCGCAGAACCCCGGTAACCCCCGGTTGCTTGAGCCAAAGTGCCCTGAGAGGTTACTGGGAAAAACAATCCCTACCCTAAACCTTAACCCCTAGACCCTAAACCCTAAACCCCTTAAAGTCCTACACAGCAAACCGACGACCCAGGTGTCCCAGTCGCCAAAAAAAGGCTCAACCGCCCTCCCTCAGAGTGAATGTATCCATAGGGCCACTTCGAAAACAATTCCCTTTTGGGGTCCTTATGACTAGACCCGGGAGTAGCCTAGGAATAAAAAGGGTACCCTTCTTGGTTTTAAGGGGATTATAAGGGAACCCCAACCCTAAAAAAGGAAAAAATGGCCTACTCCCGGTCCTAGATGATAAGAACGCCCCTATAATCTAGGGTACCGTAAAAGGGACCAGAATTGTGAAAACTAAGCATATAGAGAAGGGTTTTCATTTTAAGCACTGCCGGCACGAGCGCAAAAGGACACCCAGTATATACACTTGCCAATATTTGCCCTACTTTGGAGTAGACGCTGGAAAAAAGGTGCATACTTTTTGTATAAGCTATAATAGGAACACAGAACCCAGAAAAAAAAAAAAAAAAAAAACATTAAAGTATAGTACTCCAAAAACCAGAATTTATCAGTGCCCCTAATCGCCTAAATACACTCACCAATAACCACGATATGAAACCTGTCTCACATAGAAAGTACTTGGGCCTAAAGCTACTGCAGAGGAACCCCCTTTTAAGGCCCAAGTAGATAAATACGTTCATGCTAGCTTTCGGTGATGCAGGAGTGTGTCTAGTGGTTTAGGGTTTAGGGTTTAGGGTTTAGGGTTACTGCTGGAAAAAAACATGCATGGGTGCAATGTGGGGCGCGGTAATCAAAACCCATCGATCCTAAGGGTCCATGTACCCCTCTAGTAGATATTTGGGCCCTAAAGCTACTGTATGAGAACCCTAAACCCTAAACCCTAAACCCCAAACCCTAAACCCTAAGTCCATGTGTACCTAAATAGCATGCATAATTCGGCCCCAACATCAGTACATAGGCACCTCGTGTGAATATATATATATATATACATACAGACAGACACGTATATAGCTATATATATATATATATTTATTTATGCACATGGCGCACCCTTCGGCAAGTGGTCGGCGGGTGGGCGCACCAAATGTTTGGATCGCTGTTCATCCGCTTGTGGAGCGGCGTCTGCTTCACATTCTCCAGCTTCAGGACCTCGCGTCTGGCACAAGACCAGGCTACATCTATGCCTTGAAACCGCTGAGATTGTCATTGTTGACGGGTACCCCAAACCCTAAACCCTAAACCCCAAACTCTAAACCCTAAACCCTAAGCTACTACAAATGTTACGAAGTGCTGATGCTCATACCGGCATGCTGGCATGACCTACCTTGATCCAGCCAATCCTGGGTCCCCACACATGAAGCCTTGCCTCATGGTGGCCAGTCCATCAGCACTCCAAGACACAGCAAGAGGCGAACAACTCAAGTTGTGTTTGCAAACCATGCCCATGACTCGCGCCAGGGGAAGAGGGCATTGGGGATTGTGATGCTCGTTTTCTTCCGGATGGTTCGAAGCTGACCGCAATCTCCAGGGAAGACAAGGGAGCACTGGCAATAAGTCGAGAAGAAAAGCCAACGGTTGAATGCTGTCCACACCCTAAGGGTCCATGTACCTATATAGTATATACTTTGGGCTTAGGGTTTAGGGTTTAGGGTTTAGCCCTGAAGCTACTATATCGGAACCCCTTTAAGGCCCAAATATCTACTACAGGGGTACATGGAACCTCAGGGACAGCAAGCACTTTAACCATCGAGCTCGCGCTTCGCTACACTGGGTGCACTGTGCCCTCTCTGAGCTCGCAGCTGCAAGGGATTTGGGTTTAGGGTTTAGGGTTTAGGGTTTGGGGTTCAGGGTTTATGGTTTAGCGCTTAGGGTAGGTTTAGGGTTACCATGCGACAAGTGGCATACCAAGGCCATGGCAGACTTCAGAAGCTCGTTCAGGGAGATCTGAAATGGCTTACTGGCCTTGCACCGAACTTCTGGGGGCTTTCGGGTCCGCTAAACCCTAAACCCTAAACCCTAAACCCTAAACCCTAAACCCTAAACCCTAAACCCTAAACCCTAACCCTAAACCCTACACCCTACACCCTAAACTCTAACCCGACCCCACACATCATGGGCTCTATCTTGGGCTTATAGGGCTTAAACGGCTTAGGCTTCGCAGGGCATTCGGGCATGTTTGTACGGGAGGAGAGCGAAACAACAAAACAACGATCTCTTGACAAATGGTTGATGAAAAGCGCAGTGCTTGGGATTTGTGTTTTTTCAAGGTATACCCTTCATACCCCCAGATATAGTAGAAGCCCCCAGGGAGGATCCCAAAAAAAAGGCCTACTTTTCGGCATGCCCACTTGCTTCCACAGTAGGGCTTCAGAAATGGCACCTTCTTCTTAAGGGACCCTAAGCCCTAAGCCCAAAACCCTAAACCCTAATTTGAAAACCGAAGAGCACTCCGCGATGACCCATAAAGCAGTCCAGGACCACGGAAAACGCACCCCTAACAGACCAGCCCAAGAAACACTATAAGCCTCATAAGCCCTAAACGCTATCATCTAGGGGCCTTAATAATTTGAATAGGGTTTTTTGGGGTTCTTATGGTATAAATATAGGGGCCCTAAAGGAAATACCATTAGTAATTATTCCGACCCCTATATTACCCTGAACCCTGAACCCTGAACCCTAAACCCTAAACTCCAGGAACATCCACAGAAGGACTCCAAGAGCGGCCCCAAAAGTTTCTAGCGTCGACCTCCTCGCCTGCTCCACGTACTACGTTGGTACCGCAGCTCTGGTTTGGGGTTCATAGGCGTTACCCTATAAGGCTCTAAGGACTCCATTTTTAAGGGTATTTGGGCCCAAAGGCCTTCTTATATGACAAGGTCTTTGGGCTCTTTTGAGCCGAAGGGTTAGGGTTTACCCAAAGGCTCCTATGTACTACCTTCTTGGGGTAGTATACTAGAATCCCCTAGAGCTAACCCCAACAAGAAACGACATGGAACCCTTCGGGTAGGGTAGAATTCCCAAAGGGTCCTAAGTACCTATATGGGGGACACTTACCCAAACCACAATAGTAATTCCTATTATGGAAACCCTACTTTCTACTATGTAAGTACATAGGACCCTTTGGGATTATGGGGGCTGTAAGGCTTGTGGTGGTTCCTGGCTTTTAAGGCCGTCATGTTCTCTCCATGCCAAGGCTACCAAAGTGGAGAGGCTCGTAGGGTTTAGGGTTTAGGGTTTAGGGTTTAGGGTTTAGGGTTTAGGGTTTAGGGTTTAGGGTTTAGGGTTTAGGGCTTAGGGCTTAGGGCGTAGGGTGGTGTATATGGGCGTATCAACTTTGAGAAAAGCTTGCTATCTACACCCCTAGGGGGTTTACAGGGCTTTACCTTCATGTCCCAGGTCTCCGTGTGCCTCGCGCTCGAGCATCATGGTGTGGGCAACCTGCATGCAAAGGCACATACGGATAAGGGTTTAGGGTTTAGGGTTTAGGGTTTAGGGTTTAGGGTTTAGGGTTACATCCTCCCTAAGCCCCAAGCCCCAAGCCCCAAGCCCCAAGCCCCAAGCCCCAAGCCCCAAGCCCCAAGCCCCAAGCCCCAAGCCCCAAGCTCCAAACCCTAGTTACAGTAAACTCTCCAAACGCTAACCAACCCTAAACCTAGCTGTCACAGGAAATGCGACTAATATAGGGGCCTGAAAAATTTAGAATAGGGTTTTGGGGGGGTTACTATTAGTAGAATTACAAAAGGACCTTTCAGAACCCTATATTCTGTCCAAATTATGGTCCCGTTTGGGGTTCAAATTAAAAAGTGGGAGCCCTACATTTAGGCACCTCAACAAGGATCAGATTTTAGAGACTACGCCCTAAACCCCAAACCTCGAACCCTAAACCCTGAACCCTGAACCCTAAATCCTAAATCCTAAATCCTAAACCCTGACCCCCCACCACCCCGCATGCTTAGGGCTTGGCTTGGGGTTCCCAAATGAGAGTTCCGCCCACGCCCCTGTGCTTGGGAACAACGGTGTGCAACTGATGTCTTGAGGGTCCAGACTTTTAGGGTCTAGGGTTTTGTGTGTTTGGGTTCAGGGTTTTCGTTAAGGTCCGGGGTTTTAGGGTTTGGTGGTTTAAGGGCTTAAGAGCCGAAGATCTCTCCATCTTCTCGTGCGGTCGAGGCCCTTTTCGACGTGGCCTGCGAAGCTCGGGTGCTCCGAAGCCCGGGCAGCACTCGTGCAAGAATGCTGCTGCCTCTCGCAGGCACCCGCTATGGATGTTCAGGGATATAATTCTGGTAACCACTTATAACTTATGATCCTGCATCTAACTGCCCATGAACCTCCAAGCAGCGAGGGTTCAAGTAGCTAGGGTTGAGGGTTCAGGGGTGTGTTCTGCAAGGAGCAGCGAAGCACTCTGAGACCGCACGAGGGGTTCAACGAGGACATGGGCGGCAATACTCCGATCCTCCCGCGAGGAGGGGCTCTACACACACATAGCTCGCACAGGGTCGCTGCAGTGAGACCCGGCCGTGTGTGAACAGCCTCTTTTGCTCGGGGAGGTGGACCAAAACAGTCCATGTCTAGGGAGCAGCGTGGCGCATGGTACCCTTAGGGTTTAGGGTTTAGGGTTTAAGGTTTAGGGTTTAGGGATTAGGGTTTAGGAATTGCCTGAACCCCAAGAAATATGATGCGCAAGTCGTGGGCATGCCTTCTCGGTGCAGGTCTGAACTCCAACAGCGCCACACTTGACCCTGCGGCATTAACGGCTGTACAGGCAGATATTCACATCGCCGTGAAGCTGAAGCTTCACAATCTAAACACACCCATGCAACCCGCCAGCATTGCACTCCGGGTTTTGACGAAAGCTCTGTAATCAAACCCTAAGTAACCCTACAGCTCGAATTCACTTCCTTAAGGACACTGAAAAAAGGAAGTCCCTGGATGTACAAGGGCAATTAATCTCGACACCTGCGACTCAGGGAGCTGCAAGTTGAGGGGGCTCTTGCTGCCACCTGCGGCACGCACAGGGTCTCAGGACCCGGCCATGGAGCACAGCCCTCCCAATCACGACCCCAAGAGTTTAGGGCTCGGCAGTGGCAAAGCCAGGGTTGCATAAGGCTGCTGTACACCGATGCACACATACCCATGCCCTTCTGGCTCGACATGTCCGCGGGGGATGTTGTTTGGGGTTTAGGGTTCAGGGTTTAGGGACCTTAGAGCCCTGCAGTTCTAGAGTGCTGTAGAGCCTCAAGGGGATGGAGTCTATAGTGAAGCGAGACGCTTCACTTCTAGCAGCCTTGTATCCTTCGCAGCCCAGTAACCATATTGCAATAAGCGCACCCTTTTTGGGGGGGATGGCTACTTTATAAGTGAACCCAGAACCCCCCAAAAAAAGGACATTCGTAACTGCTGGGCTGCCAAGTGTCTAGTGACATGTGACTCCGTGTTGGCACATGCAGCATCGAGCTCGGCGTTCGGCTGAGAGCAACTACAGCCACTGAAGCAATCCAGGAACCCAGACGGACACACTGGTAGAGGGCTTCAGCACCACCTTGTGTGGTATTGGGATAGTCTAGAAGGGCTCCTAAACCCTAAACCCTAAACCCTAAACCCTAAACCCTAATATAGGATGGCAGGTCTTACGGTTCCGGTTCCCACTCAGGGAACCAAATAGCGCGGCACGCACAGGGCCACAAAGGACCCGGCCGCGCGTAGGAGAGGGGGGTCCCGGTCAGCACGTGAGAGCCATCGGCAAGACTCCTAAAGACCAGCCTTGCAACATTTGTGCAGGCTTATCGGGGTTTAGGGTTTAGGGTTTAGGGCTTAGGGTTTAGGGTTTAGGGTTTAGGGTTTGTGACGCAGGTTGTCGATGTCTTTACTGATAGAGACAGAGAAGTGTCGACGTCTGTGTATTTGGAAGTTCCCAGGTTCAGTTTCAGGCTTCACTCAAAAGAGAGGCCCCGAAACCCTAAACCCTAATATCGTAGCCGATTTTCAATGGTTCTTGGGACTCGACAGAAAAACAACCCAAAACACCTAACACATGGTGCTCGTCGTCTTTCGGGGCTTCTAAGAACTGCCAAACACTAAACCCTAAACCCTAAACACTAAACCCTAAACCCTAAACCCTAACCCTAAACCCTACACCCTAAACCCTGTCAGCAAAACAGCCCCCCAAACAGCCCTACCTTCAGGGTTTCTTGGGCTGCCACCTCAAGTTCGCGGCAAGACTCTAAGGGTAGTTACATCCCTTAAACGGGTTTAGGGTTTTAAGGTTTAGAGTTTACCCAGACCCACTATATACCCGCTGGCCGCGCTGCGCGAGGCAGGTTTCTACCCAAACTCCGAGCAAAACCCCTGCCGGAAACCCTGTGCATACTCTGAGCCTCTATAGACTCTATTGCTGCTATGGCTGCCCCCCCCCCCCCCCCCCCCAAGAACATGTTAGATGCTTTGAACGCTGTCGTTAGAGTGAATTCCTTGTTACGGAGAGAATTGCCAGTGGCTCACGTGCGCATTGCTCTCACCAGCTGTAGTGCTCATGGTAGCCGTGGTCCTCATCGACCTGGGTCCAGTGGTCTGGCTCCTGGGCTAGCTACAGATGTGCAAGACCTTGTTCCCCCTAAACCCTAAACCCTAAACCCTGTACCCAAAGCACTATAAGGCTTAGAACCATCTGAGGCCTAAAGTGCATCCAAGACCAACCTAGGAATGCAAAGCGTGCCCTGCTTGGTTTAAAGAGGCTCATAAGGGAACCTAAAGCCCAGAAAAAAAGGCAAGAACAGGCCTACTCTGGGCCTATAGGAGTCCTAAACCCTAAACCCTACTACCCTAAACCCTAAACCCTAAACCCTAAACCCTAGACCCTAAACCCTAAACCCTAAACCCCAAACCGAATGGGTGCCACAGGGGTTTAGAAGCGAGCTCCTTCTCCACGAGCTCCTTCGCACAGTCCAGCGCGTGCTTGTGCTCAGAAATGTCCTTCCTGAGCTGGGGTGTAGGGTTAGGGGTTTATGGTTTAGGGGCTAGGGTTTAGGAAGCTTAAGAAGGTTAGGATTACATCATACTCAGAATCGGGCTTTGGGGGTTGGGGCTTGACGGCATTACATTCTGAAGCATGGGCCCTTGGGATTTTTTGGGATTTATAGGGTTTAGGGTTTAGGGTTGGAAAACTGTCCGACTTCACGAGTTGCGTAGGGCTGAATGAACCTTGATTGGGCCTTCTCTTGCGTAGGGGTAGTCGGCTGCTACGGTTCAGCAGGGTTTAAAGGGTTCAGGGATCCTAGAACCCTAAAAAACCCTAAACCCTACGCCTGAAACCCTGACCCCAGGGTTTCGGTTTGAGGGTTAGGATTCCTCCCTCCAATCCATAGAGGCGGGGGGCATGTACTCTGTCACGCAGTCATCCAACTCCTTCGCTGCCTCCTGCACGAAGTAGCACCAGGAATGCCTCAGGCCTGCGTGAGATCATCCGGAACCCGGAACTACAAGCAACCTCAAAAGCCCTATCAGCCGCATAAGTACAAAGCCTTCGAAGCCCTACAAGGCCCAGAAGCCCTTTAAACGCTTCATCAACCTCACAAACACCCTTATCTCAAGCCCCGGAAGCGTTTACAAAGCTGCACACACACACACAAAGTCGAGGGTCTCTAAACCCTAAACCCTAAACCCTGAACCCTAAACCATAACCCCCAAACCCGTTCAGGGTTCAGGTTTGGGGCGTTGCAAAAGCCCTCCTCGGTTTTTGGGCAAAACTCAAAGGGCAAATATATGTATGTTTGTGTTTAGGGCTTAGGGCTTAGGGCTTAGGGTTTAGGGTTTAGGGTTTAGAGATATTCTTCTATGTAGGTACATGGACCCTTCGGGGAAGAAAATCACAAGAGGTGCCGCAGCCCTTCGGGGCCTCCAGCGACCTTCAACTCCAAGACACTTGGTGGTTTGGGGTTTAGGGTTTAGGGTTGAGGGTTTAGGGTTTAAGGTTTCCGAAAAAGGGCTTAGGGCTTGGGGTTCAGGGTTCAGTACCTTTTGACATTTTGGCGGGCTTCCGATAGCATGAAAGGTTAATTCGTGCTTTGGGGTGCAATTCTGCAGGGTACCCTTATTTTTGGGAATGGCTATTTGTTCCGGGCGTTGTGCAATCCCTTTCTCATTAGGTGCGCTTTGAAAGAAAGGGATTCTGTTCCAGACGGTGCCTACAAGGGATATAGCGTAGAGGGTTCAGATCATGCATGCCCCACTCTTCTGGTACGATCTCTTTGGGGCAAGATTCTACTTGGAGGTTCACGGCACTTCTGACCCTAATTATAACTGCACTTAAAAACCCCCTAAATCCTCTAAGTAGGTTCTAAGTAGACTTATAACCCTACACCCAAAACCCTAAAGGGGGTTATAAGTACAGTACCATGAACCTCCAAGTAGACGGCTTTGGGTTTAAGGCGTCAGAGCCCCCAAGCCCCCCCAAACAAACCCCAACCAAGGGTTAGCTGTGCCATTTGAGGATTGAGGTAGTTCCCCTAAACCCTAAAACTTAAACCTTAAACCTTAAACCCTAAGCCTTAGACCTTACACCTTAAACCTTAAACCCTAAAACTTAAACCTTAAACCTTAAACCCTAAAACTTAAACCTCAAACCTTAAACCTTAAACCCTAAGCCTTAGACCTTAAACCTTAAACCCTAAAACTTAGACCTTAAACCTTAAACCTTAACCCCTAAGCCTTAGACCTTAAACCTTAAGCCCTAAAATTTGAAACTTAAACCTCAAACCTTAAACCTTAAACCCTAAAACTTAAACCTTAAACCTTAAACCTTAAACCTTAAACCCTAAAACTTAAACCTTAAACCTTAAACCCTAAAACTTAAAACTTAAACCTTAAACCTTAAACCTTAAATCCTAAGCCTATGAGGTGAAAGCCCTCTCTGAAACCCAAAGCCTAAGCCCCACGTACACTTGGATCCCACCGAGACTCCGTGCAAACTAGCGCAATGAGGGAATTCGGGCCCTATATATACCCTTTAAGGGAGTACATAGGTTTAGGGTTTAGGGTTTAGGGTTTAGGGTTTAGGGTTTAGGGTTTAGGGTTTAGGGGATAGGGTACCTCATTCCCTCGTTCCCGACTAAGAACCAGCCAGAAAACTTATGAACCCATCAGTTGCCAAGAGTAGGGTTGGCTTACCAGGGCCAAGGCAGCATCGTTGATGCGGTAGCTTAATGAAATTTAAAGAACCCCTCTACACCTACTCCATAAAAAAAATTGAAAAAAAAAAACTAAAAAAACCCCACCCCTAGAGACCGTGCCTGTCTGGCTGTAGAATTGCTGCAGGGAGATGAAGGCCTCCCTGGATCAGGATCAGGTTTCAGGCTTTCGGGTTCTAGGGCTTAGGGTTTAGGGACAGGGTTTAGGGTTTAGGGTTTAGGGTTTAGGGTTTAAGGTTTAGGGTTTAGGGTTTAGGGTTTAGGGTCTAGGGCTTAGGGTTCAGGATTTTGGGATCTAAGATTTGGGGTCGAGGGCTCAGGTTACTTGGATTTTGAAGATTCAGGGCCTAGGTTTAACGCACCGGCTCTTGGGATTCGGCTTGAGGGCGTACATCGTTTAGGGGTTTCTGGGGCTTCGACTCGGAAAGGTTTGGGGCTTAGGGGCTCTTTCTCGCTTTGTTGGACTTTGGGGCTTGGAGGGCTTAGGGCTTGGGATGTCTTTCTGTGTTCTTGGGTTTGGGGCCTAGAGGGCTCCGGGCTTGGAGGATTTAAGGGCCTTGTTGGTTAGGACTGCTTCGACTCACCATCTGCATGGACTTGAGTGCAGGGTGGTGCATGCAGCCCAATGATGCCCAATGACAACCTGAACCCTGTCTCATAATAGGTCTCCAAACTTCCTCCAAAAAGGTACCCCCCCCCCCCTCCTCTTCCCTCCCGAAAAATCCGTACGACCCGAAGTCATAAGTTCTTGGCGAAGACACCTGCGGGAAGACAAATTAGCGTTCAGGGGTCAGGGTCACAAAACTGGGCCCGATGTAGAGAACTGGGCATATATTACATACACACCCTAAACTCTAAACCTTATACATGCACATATATATATATACATATTTAAATACATCAATAAACAAGTAAGTATATAAATATAAATATATTTTTACATATATATATATTATACATACATCCTTAACCCTCCCATATACCGTTACAATCAAAGGACGAGTTGTTCTTTGCATCGGATCGTCTTGGTTTTTCTCTAGGGAGGTGGTACGGTACGGGGCTCAAGTACCCTCAGCCCTAAACCCTAAATCCTAAACCCTAAGTCCTAAACCCTAAACCGTAGATCCTCAACCCTAAATCCTAACCCTAAGCCCAAACCCTAAACCCGAAACCCTAAACCCTACACGAAAGAAGCCCTGAGCCCCTACCCCCCATATGATTCCATATGTGCCTCCAAAAGGGACCCCAGAGGCGGTCCTGCAGTTTGCCGTTGTCCTGTCTCAAAGGTTTTGGGTTTAGGGCTTCAAGGTTTAGGGTTTCGGGTTTAGGCGTCGCTGAAAAAGTTTGCCGGTTTAAGCAGTTTAGGCTGTAGTGGTTTTCCAGAGGATCAGCGGTTAAGGGCTCGAAGGACTCTGATGCTAGTCTCAATAGGTAGGGCCCAGAGCTTGACGTTCGGCCTGGAAAATACGGAGAAAGCTTTGAGGCACACTTGGCGCGCGAAGCGGGTTTAGGATTTAGGGCTTTGAGTTTAGTGTGGAACCGTAAACCTAAAGCCCCAAACCCTACATGTCTTTGGCGGAGATCCCTAGCAAAGGATCAATCTGCTGCCAGAACCCTGCATGGAGAAACCTCATACCTTAAAACAAAGACAACCCCTACACCGCAAACACAACAACTGGTACATCTCCGCATTCTCTTGTTCTCTTATGGTTCCTGCCTCTCTCTCTGTCTAAAGAGGCACGTAAATCAAAACTACCTGTACAGACATAAGACATGTACATATCTGTAAGGCCACAAATAAGCTACTCAAGGCAACCCCTCTCCCCCCGCCCCACCCGTCTCTTGGGTCAGGAACCCTAAACCCTAAACTCTTAACCCCAGACCCTAAACTCTGAACCCTGAACCGCCTGAACCCTGAACCCTAAACCCTATACCCTAAAACCGAAACCCTAAACCCCAACCCTGAACCTTTGTGAAGATTCCTCAGCTCCTGGGAGAGGAAACTTTTTGACGGGCGGACTCAGTCTGTCGGGGTCCGCGGAGGGGCGGGGTGTGCCAGGTTCAGAGTTTGGGTTTTCAGGGGTTGAGGGGGTTTAGGCTTTAGGGTTTATGTTTAGGGTTTAGGGTCTAGGGTTTAGGGTTTGGGGTTTGGGGTTTGGGGTGTAGGGTTTAAGGTTTAGGTAGAAGGGGTTGGGGCTTTATGGTGTAGGCATTGCATGATAGCGCATTTATGGCGTAGGGTTCCTGGGGTGTTTTGACTTGTTCCTGGCTTCCACACGCTGAAAAGGCCCCCTAAACCCTAAACCCTAAACCCTAAACCCTAAACCCTAAACCCTAAACCCTAAACCCTAAACCCTAAACCCTAAACCCTAAACCCTGAACCATCCCAAGGCTCCTTGAAGATGGACAGCACGCGCTCAAGCTCGCTGTCCACCTGATCAGGGCGTGAAGTTCACGGGTTTGGGACCTTAGTTGTCCAGTACCTCGGGGTTTTAAAGGTTAACCTTTGGGAATATAAGGGGAATATACTAACCCAAAAAGGTTAAAGGTTAGCTACTCTACTACTAAGGGAATAGGGGCTCAGGGGTTCGGTGCTTTGTTGCGGGGTAAGGACTTGGGGGGCGGGACGATGCGTCAGGATAAAACTAACGAATTCTGCATCCAGACCCAGCAGATCTCTTGCTGAAATAGATTTCTCCATCGTCTTGGCCATTATCCAAGGTGCGTCCCTCATCCGCCCTGAAACGACGCATGCAGGCACAGCGGGACCCAACGCGCCCACCTGTGACGATCGTGGTGGGGGGGGAGGGGGGGAGCGGGGGGGGGGGGGGGGGGGGGGGGGGGGGAGGGGGGGGGGGGCAGGGCGTAAAAAATTGAGGACTCCCTAATTAACCGTACTCGCACCCCCGAAAAGGGTCTAAAGGAATGGTGGCATCCTCGAGGGTGCTTAGGGCGTCCCGAAACCCTAAACCCTCAACCCTCAACCCTAAACCCTGAACCCTAAACCCCAAACCCTACTACACCCTTTTTGAAAGCTTCCGGGGCCGTGCCTCTCGCAGGAAACTCTGCTCATGACGGTGGTTCTGGGGCGCGCCATGCTCCGGCCAAGCACACCTGGGGCTCTCTGTCTTAGGGTTTGTCTCGGGGTCTGGGGTTTAGGGCTTAGGTTTAGGGTTTAGGGTTTAGGGTTTAGGGTTTAGGGCTTAGGGCTTAGGGTTTAGGGTTTAGGGTTTAGGGCTTAGGGTTTAGGGTTTAGGGATCACCAACAAAGAACAAAGCAGGTTTTTTTGATTGGTTCGATGGACTCTTCAGGGCCCAAAAGTGTAAGGTTTTTGAGTTTAGGGTGTCGGGTTTTAGTTATGACCCTAAGGGTCCATGTGCCTATATCGTCTTACACTTGGGCCTTAAAGCCTGAAAGGGTTCCCTATGCAGTAGCTTTAGGGCCCAAACACATCCTATAAAGGCACGCTGACTCTTAAGATTTGTAAAAGTTTCAGGAATTAGGGCATCGGAGAAGGCTTACAGAGATATGGATTCTCTGTGGCCACCGCAGCATCGACACCCGCATGCCCGTACTGCAACTCTCTCACACGCTCTCTCCCCCTCTCTCACTCTCTCACTGTGTCACTCTCGCTCTCTCTCTCTCTCTCTCTGTGTTTCTCTCACTCGCTCTCTCTCTCTCTCTTTCTCTTTTCCTGTCTTGTTCTTTCTTTTGTCTCTCTCTCTCTCTGCTTCCTGGATCCTCCCCAACCACCCTCAATCAAGGGCTAGGACCGTTCAGAGGAATGTGGCAGGTTTCAGGGATTAGGACCCAGGGGTTCGGAGAGGTTCGGAGGGGTCAGAGGGGCGTGCTACAATGTTTAGGGTCTGGGGTTTAGGGGTTAGGGGCATTCAAACAGCGGCTAAACCCTTAACCCGAAGCCCCGTAAACCCTAAACCCAAAACAACCTTAACAGAGCTCGCGATGCTTATGCAGGATATTACCCTGAACCCTGAACCGTGCAACGACCCTGACTCAGTAGGCTCAGTGCAACCTAAAGCTGCCAAGCACAATGCAGGAAACTCGGAGAACCAAGCAGTCAACCCTCAACACCTCCAAAGCCCCAAGACGTGCAAAGCTGAAGACGGAGAATGAAGCTGGAGCCCGATAACCTCACACAACAAAAGGCTTGAACAAACCCGACCTTGAGAAACCCCAAAACCTACGATTCTTGTAGGCCCTGAACAGAAAAGCTCTTATGCATACCTCCAGAAAGTCGGTTTTGGGTTCTTACGATAAACCCTAAACCCTAAACCCTAAACCCTAAGAAACGCCCAGTTTGGGGATGACGTTGCGGTTGCAGCGGGGCACCCGCACAGGAACTCCCCGATGATACGGACGAAGGCACTCCAGTTGCCTCAGCTTCAAGGTCTTTTGGGGGCTTAGGAGAGAACGATTCGTGAGCCCTGATCGGCGTTGCAGCAGTGTGAAAACCTACAAGGAAGGGACCCGCCGTAGCTACAGGTAGAATCCTAAACCCTAAACCCTAAAGGGTCCATGTACCCGCGTTGTATATACTTGGGCCTAAAGGTTCCTAGACAGTAGCCGTAGCAGGTACATGGACCCTTCGGGAGGTAGAAGCGGTTTACGGTTTAGGGCTTATAGGGCTCAGGGCTTAGGGTTTAGGGAAATACGGTTCGAAGTACCAACACTTGGGTTCTAAGCCCCTTCCAACCCTAAAACTTTAAGCACTGACCCTAGCCATAAGCCTCAAACCCTGAGATTCTGAAGTCCCCATATACACAGCTGGTATAGGCCCTGACCCCTAACCCTAAACCCCAAACTTTGAGGATATCAGTCTCCACATATACCAGTTGGCATAGCACCTATATGGGGTGAAGGGTCCCCTCCCGGACAAAGGAAAGAAGGCGCAGAGCTAACGCAAAGGAGCTGCCATTAGCAAGATTACAAGCTTCGGAGGGTTAGGGCCACGCTTGGTCTAAGGGTTTGGGCTTTAGGCTTTAGGGTTTAGGGTTTAGGGTGTAGGGTTTAGGGTTTGGGGTTTAGGTTTGGGGTTTGGGGTTTAGGGTGAGGGGATACTAGCTTCAACCTGGCTGCATGCCCTGCCCAAGTAGTCGCAGTTGTCCTTCGTCAGCTGCTTGGACTGTGCCAGATACCTTGGCTCGTCCCCGACTTTCCTACAGCTTCAGCGCAGCTTCACCCAAAGTCCTAAACCGTCAACCCAAAATCCCAAGCCCAAAACCCTGAACCCACAACCCTAAACCCAAAACCCAAAACCCAAAACCCTAAACCAACCCTGTTCGGGAGCACCGAGCCCACATTTCCTGCACCCAGCAACCCCGTGACTGTATCAGCAGCGGAGCTGTTGCACGACGAACTTCCGCACGTCCCAGGTGCAGTAGGCCCTTGCCTCAACCCTAAACCCTGACCCTAAACCCTAAACCCTAAACCCTAACCCCTAACCCTAAACCCTCAACCCGACCCCTCACTCCGACTTCATTTCGAATTAAAGCTCCCAACTGCACACCTGTCAATCCAAACCACACAACTCAATGGGTCACAACCCAGCAATTTCAGGTTTGACCCCAAGGATACTCCATTAGGGTTTACCCCACCCCCACTCCCCCAATCCCCCCCCCGTTCCCCCCGCCCCTCCTCCCCACATCGTTCGACCCTCTATCGCTTCGCTCCAAGGCCTTGAAAAAAAGTGCAACCCCGTCACCCCAAACGAAAACACTTGAACCGAGCTGTGCATTACTTGAGAGGTAGTCACGATCACACTCATGACTCGGGAATGTGGAGACAGCAGGGGATTTGCAGTTAAACCAAAACTAGAAGCTGGCGCAGGCTGTGGGATGCAACTGTGGAGTTACCAAGATTCAGGGATTTCGGGTCTTCAGTCGTGCTCCCGAGCCTGCTGATGCCACTGCTGCAGACCGCGCGAGATGTGATAGCACATCGAGTCCTCCGCTTTGCAGGAGTTTAGAGTCTGGGCGCGTCCTCCGCTGAATCTCGGGCATTTGCACAGCCCTCCCATACCCCCAACCCCTCCCAAACCCTAAACCCTAAACCCTAAACCCTAAACCCTAAACCCTAAAACCCTAAACCCTAAACCCTAAACCCCTCAACCCTAACTAAAAGCCAACTATACTTTGCGGAACTGTAGGTCATTGCCTTGGGGACCAAACGAGGGATTATGGTTCACATACCCTAAGAGGGACTCTTGTGGCCTCGGGTATATGATCCCAATTCTGGGGTTTATACGGTCCCCAAGGGGTTTAGGGTTTAGGGTTTAGGGTTTAGGGTTTAGGGGGAGCTATTTTGGGGTAATGTCGGGTTGAGGGATTCTGCTTTTAGCGTCTTCGAGGCCGATCGCACCAGCTCCGAAAGGCGAGAAAGAGTTTAGGGTTGAGGGTTTGGGCTTTAGGGCTTAGGGACCCAGGCATCAAACCTCAAGGTCTAGGGCGCTTAGGGCCTACCAGTGTATAGGTTTAGGGTTTGGGGCTTGGAGCCTATATATGTATATACATTTTGGTTTAGGGTGCAGTTAGGGTTCAGGGGTTTCATGTTTAGGGTCCTAACCCTCACACTCCTCGGCCAACAGGCGTTGGTGCGTGGGGTCCTGGCCAGCGAAGGTGGCGACGACCTGCAACTTGTTTCCCTAAATGCTAAACCCTAAACCAAACCCAACAACCCTCCATCTTTGTGGTGGTCATGTTTGGTTTTCTTTTTCTGCTTGATTTAGGGGTTTATAAAAAGTAAGCGATCTTTGCGCCGTCACGGGGCTTGGCGCTTGGGTCTTGAAGGGGGCTCGCAAGTTTTCTATTGTAACTCTACACTCTAAACCCTAGTCCCCTTGAGAAAGAGATGCCAAAAACACTTGTAACTATGTTCTTGGCAGACCTAACCATATTAACATACACCCGTTTTGGGGTTGGTTACTTTAATAAGTGAACCCAGAACCCAAAAAAGGGTTTTGGGTTCTCCTGGGCTGCCAAGTATTATATCTCAAGGAGGACTCGGAGTGTTCTCGTTGGGCCGGCTTAGTAGGATGGGGGCCTCAGGACCCGAACAAGCAAACTCCCACACACCGAAAACTGGAATTTTATGTGTGAGAGGACTCCAAAACTGAACGCCCGCCCCCCCCGCCCCTCCTCCTCCCATGAGCCCTAAACGCTCAGTCCCCCCTCCTCACCCTAGACCCTAAACCCTAAACCCTGCACCCTAAACCCTAAACCCTAAACCCTAAACCCTAAACCCTAAAACCCTAAACCCTAAGCCCTAACCCTAAACCCTAAATCCTAAACCCTGAACCCCACCCCCCAAAACCCAAAAAATCGGATGCCTTCGGCCCGAAGAGGCTTGAAACGATCCACGAGCCCAGGAACCATTGCCTTGGCTGCTCTCCTACAATTTCAACGGTTCAGAAAGATAATGTATCAGTACATAAGTACATATAGGCATATCAATAAAAAAACACAAAATAGATATAAAGAACTAAACAAATAAAGGCATGAGCAAATGCAAAAAAGACATAAAGAAATAACTACAACAAACATAAGCAATACAAACATGAATGAGCAAAAACACATAAACACCTTTAAAACAACATACATAAAAATATGAAAAAACATAAATACATAAATAATTACATAAATGAGTAAAGACATACACAAATGAACAACTAAATGAATCAATGAATAAATGAATGTATGTATGTATAACGGCACATACTGTTGGATTTCGGCCTCTAAAGAAAGGAGGGGGAGATCAAACATGTAGTTGCCGGGCAACATCGGAAACCGAACATGCCCGAATCTCTGCTCGAGGGTGAGCAAACATATAGGGTCGGAATGAATAATAATCGTATTCCCTGAGGGTCCCTTTATTCTTCTACTATACTCACCCCCAGACCCTATAATTAAGGCCCCATTATGATAATTCAGGCTTTTGATCGATTTCTGAGGCTTCTGAGGTTCGTCGTGAGTCGAGAGCGGAGCGTTTCGGGTGCAGGATTTGGGGTCGAGAGGGTTTAGGATTAATAGGCTCCAGGCTGGACTGCGACCATGGGCACCTAGCTGTAACTATGTTTGACATCACGACATGATATGCCCCGTGCAAATCCTAATCCGACAGCGGTCGAAATCAAAATCGACCATCCGCAAGAAGGCTGAACAATCTTGGTGCTTCATTCTTCCCCTAAACCCCAAACCCTAAGCTCTAAACCCTAATTAAACCCTAAACCCTAAACCCCGCAGCGAAGAGGGTCTAGGGCTTTTGGGTCTTTTGGCTCATTGTTGTTTAGGGTTCAGGCTCAGGGATTGACGCATGTGGCTGCCAGCTACTTGGAGGTTCATGGGTAGTTGTAAGCAGGGTTATAGCTATGCGAACTGTACTTATAGCCCTTTTTGGGCACTTCTGACCACACATATAAGTGAACATGAACCTCCCGGTACTTGGAGGTTCATGGGTACTTATAACCCCTATTCTAAGTCTACTTATAAGGTTCATGGGTACTTATAACCCCTATTCTAAGTCTACTTATAACCTACCTGGAGGACTTAGGGGGCTTATAAGCGCAATTATAATTGGGCTATAAGTACCCTGAACCTCCCAGGAGTGGTAGGATTCTGAGCTGTTGGTTTTTCCCAGAGCATGGGGGCAGCTTCCCCTTTTTGCACTCGCGCCCCTAAACCGCTTGCAGGGCTTGGAGGTCTTCATTGGGAGTCTCCCCCTTATACTAACAGTCCTTAGTAGAGGTTACAGTATAATCCCTACTATGAGGACTGCTATAGTATAAGAGGGAACATCCCAAGGGTCTTGAAATTCAGCAAGCCTAAACCCCTAAACACCTAACCCCTGAACCCTCCCTAAACCCTAAACCCTAAACCCTAAACCCTAAACCCTAAACCCTAAACCCTAAACCCTAAACCCTAAACCCTAAACCCCAGGCCCCACACCCAAATCATGCCAAGCAGCTTGTTGGTCTGCTGTATCTTCTGAGGCCACAGTGTCTGGTCCTCTGGGGGTTCCCCGAACGAAACGCTTGGGTTGAGGGGTTAATGCCTAAGCAGCAGGGTTTAGGGTTTAGGGTTTAGGGTTTAGGGTTTAGGGTTTAGGGTTTAGGGTTTAGGGTTTAGGGGTTTAGGGTTTAGGGTTTAGGGTTTAATCATGTTTGATCCCAAACAGCATACGGTTTGGGGTTTAGGCACAAAGGAGTTTAGGGTTTTGGTTTAGGGTGCAGGTTTTTTAGCTACGACTTTAACATTAATGTATAATAGTGAGCTTGTGATGTTTAAAAGGAACGAAGTGAACGTGCGGGCGCTCTTTTGTCTAATTCGGGTTGTCGTCGTGGTCTAGGGCTTACGGACTTTCGGATGTTGGATTCCGGGCCTTCTTGGGCCCAAGGGTTTCAGGGTTGCGGGTAGCGCTTGGGTTTAGGGTTCAGGGCCTAGGGCTCAGGGCTTAGGGTTTGTAACGCTTATAGGGTTTATAGGGTTTATAGGGTTTCTAGGATTTAGAGGGTTTAGAGTGTTTAGGGTTTAGGGGGTTTCGGGGTGTAGCTGTTCGGGCAGACCCAAAACCCAAACCATCCAGTATCCCTAAACCCTAACCACTAACCCCTAAACCCTAAACCTAAACCCGAAACCCTAAACCCCCATATCCTAGGAGTCAGTTCCCCATTGACCACAGACGTCCTCGAGAAAAGCGAAGATCTGCTCCGACCAGCCGACGACGTCCTTTCCGTGGCGCTTGGGGTTAGGGTTTAGGGTTTAGGGTTTAAGGTTTAGGGTTTAGGGTTTAGAGAGGACAGGAATCTTTTCACTCGCAGACGCTACAAGAAATTTCTGGATGACAAGCCACAAGCCCTGCATCCTAAACCATTAGATTAAGCCCCAAACCATCCTCAAGCACAAGTGCAAACCCTCCACCCTCAACCCAAAACCCCCAAAAACCCTAAACCCAAGAAACCCCAAAAATCCCAAAACAAAAACCAAAACACAAACCCCCAAAAACCGCAAACCCAAAACAGACCAAACACCCTGACCCCCCCCCCCCCCAAAAAAAAAAAAAAAAAAAAAGGGACCCCCCCCCCCCCCCCCCCCCCCCCCCCGGAAAAACAAAAAAAATCAACAAGAAACCCTACATAAACCCTAAGTCCAAAACCGTCATCCGCACCTCGCCGGCCATGGCATGCATCTCATCCAGACACTTGGCCTGCAGGAAGCCCGGAGGTGCAGACGCATAGGGTTTGGGGTTTGGGGTTTGGGGTTTGGGGTTTGGGGTTTGGGGTTTGGGGTTTGGGGTTTGGGGTTTGGGGTTTGGGGTTTGGGGTTTGGGGTTTAGTAAGGTTTAGGGTTTAGGGTTTAGGGTTTAGGGTTTAGGGTTTAGGGTTTAGGGTTTAGGGTTTAGGGTTTAGGGTTTAGGGTTTAGGGTTTAGGGTTTAGGGTTTAGGGTTTAGGGTTTAGGGAGGAGGGCTGTGGGCTTCAGGGGACTGCTTGTCTCTTGGGGCATGCAGAGCCGAGGAGTGACCCCTCTCCCTCCCGCCCCCAAACCCCAAACCCCAAACCCCAAACCCCAAACCCCAAATCCCGGAAACCCCAATCCCTACACTCTTAAGCCTTAACCCTAAACCCTAAACCCTAAACTCTAAACCCTAAACCTGAACCCTAACCCTAAACCCTGAACCCTAAACCAGGGGTCTGTGGATGCCAAGGGCCTATCATTGTTCAAAACGCAGAGTTTTTTGCAAGTGCTTCGGAGCCAGCCGGAAGACACAGGGGTTTAGGGTTTAGGGCTTAGGGTTTAGGGTTTGTGGCTGAATTAGGGCTTGGGGGCTAGAAGTCCCGAACCCCAAATCCCCAAAGCCCAAAAGCTTCCAAGACCTCACTCTAAGGGACCAGGCGCGTACATGGGAAGACTTGAGGCTTGAAGTACTTCCTATGTACGGACTTCGGGGCCCAAGCATATAACACAAGAGTTACACCTAAAGCCTAAAGCCTAGCGCCTAAAGCCGAAAGCCGAAAGCCTAAAGCCTAAAGCCTAAAGCCTAAAGCCTAAAGCCTAAAGCCTAACGCCTAAAGCCTAAAGCCTAAAGCCTAAAGCCTAAAGCCTAAACCCTAGCCTCATAAGCCCTAGAAACCCTCACCCAAAGTTGCAGCAGGCCTTGCCAAGGGACTGAAGATCTCTGAGGATGCCTTCGTTGCGGGGTTTAGGGTTAGGGTTTGGGGTTTGGGGTTTAGGGTTTAGGGTTTAAGGTTCCGGGACACTGCAGCCTGGGCGGGGTTTAGGGGTTCAGGATGTTTGGGTCTTGAGAAGTGGCACTCGAAGCCCTACACCCTAAATCCTAAACCCCAAACCCTAAACCCTAAACCCCAAACCCTAGTGTAAACCCTATTTAGGAATTTGGGGACTTGGGCCTCAAGCCTCGGAGGCCACAAGGGCTTTGCGGGCTGAGGGTGCGGCCCTTTGAAAGGCAGCAGGCATGCAGTATAGCACCCAGGGAAACCCATTCAGGTCAGGGGGTTTAGGGTTTAGGGTTTAGGGTTTAGGGTTTAGGGTTTGGGATATCGGGGTTGAGGTAAGGGGCTACAGAAGGGAGAGGGGCCCTTGATAATTTGCACGTTCTACTTGGAGGTTCATGGGCGATTAGAAGTAGGGAATACAAGTGCACTAAATAGGGTTATATGTTACAAGTATAGTTACCACCATTAAGACCCTACCAATGCTACCCAAGAACCTTCAAGTAGGTGTTTAGTGACTAGGCCCCTTGTTTAACTCCAAAGAAGGCATCCAACACAAAGAAAGCGCAAAAACGTGAAGCAATGATCCATTTGCTGGGCTGCGCTCAGGCTTTTGGAGGCAGAAGAAGGCGAAAATCTCCTTGGCTGAGACACCGGGCTGATGGGTGAGGTGTGAGGGTTTACGGGTTTGGGGCTTTCATTTGGTTTTGAAGACTTTGCTTCCAAGAGGTTTTTCGTTACGTTTCGGGTTTATGCCTCTGCAAGAACAGGAGGCCCAACATTTGCGAACCCTAACCCCAAACCCTGAACCCTCAATCCTAAACCTTAACCCTAAGCCCTGAAGATCAGCCCCGGTACTGCCCCCCATGCTCTTCATACTTCAGCTGGCGGCCGGCCGCACCCGAATCCCTACAGCAAGGGTTGGTGATAAGTGGCGTTCATAAGCGGTTTAGGGTTTAGGGCTTAGGGCCCGAAAACTTTCAGGGCCCAATGCACCCCACAACTGGGGTCACATACCCTCTACTACGATAGTTCCTGCGAGGGTAATATGAACCCTAATCCCGTCAGAGTTCATTTGGTCCCCAAGGGAATTGGGCTCTACTCTACTGATAACTTGGGGTTCTGCATCCTCGGAAGGGAGATGGCAAAGCAACGCGGACAAGCCTCCATCAATGTGAACTTGAGCTTCTGGTCCCGACTGCCTGCACCAACCTAAACCCTAAACCCTAAAGAGCCTAAACCCTGAACCCTGAACCCTAAACCCTAAACCCTAAACCGTGGGAGGATTCTAAACCCCAGAGGTTTATCCAGCTGGTGTTCCAAAGCGACTTGAGTCGAAACACAGTCGACCCTCAACCCTACTCCAAGAACCCCTAAGTGCCAATCCTACCACGAGTTTAGGGTTTAGGGCTTGTCCTAAGCCGTTAAACCACCACCTGGAGAGCCTAGTTGCCTGTAATTATGGTAAACAGTTGCAGAAAATTCTCTTAGGGGGAGGGGAACCCTAAATCCTAAACCGCAAACCCTAAGCTCTAAACCCTGGAGGGGGGGGGGGGGGGGTTGCGGATCTCGGACAACTCGGTGATCAGGAAGGTGGCCCCGATAAACTTGATCAATGTGCTCATCGCCCTGTTCCCCCTCGAGAAGTAGGTGTTGAACTCCGTCACCATCACCGTCAAGGCGCTCTTCGCCATGTTCGTGTGCAAGTTGCACAACCGCGAGAGGAGGTGGTTCACCAACACCAGGAAGCGGATCCATTGTAAACTGGACCCCCCAGATAAGCCCCAACATCCCCATCTTCAGGGGGTTGGGGTTTAGGCGGTTAAGGGGTCTGGGTTCAAGCGGTTCAGGGCTTCGGGTTTAAGTGGTTTCAGGTATAAGTGTTTCGGGGTTTGGGGAGTTAGGGGGGGTTGAGGGTTTACGGTTTCGGTCTTTAGGCTGAAGGGTTAACGTTCACCATCCAGGGTTTCCTAGAGGACCCTAAACCCTAAACCCTAAACCCTAAACCCTCAACCCTAAACCCTAAACCCTAAACCACAAGAGGATTTATAGGGGAGTGGACTTGCCCCGGCGCCTACGCGCTGCATGATCTCGACCAGCGGGTGCGTGTACACCAGGAGCCTGCTCGAGTTAGGGTTTAGGGTTTAGGGTTTAGGGTTTAGGGTTTAGGGTTTAGGGCTTAGGGTTTAGGGTTTAGGGTTTAGGGTTTAGGTTTGAGGGTTGAGGGTTGAGGGTTCCCTTCTCAATCAACAGAACACCTTTTTTCTCTCCTACGGGTACAGGGCGACCCAGTCTTGGGGTTGCTCGTAGGCGAGCGGTTCTGTGAATCGAATGGGCATGTCATATGGAAAGAGTACTGTAGAGTTCTCCTAATTCTATAAACCCGTTTAGGGTTCAGGGTTTAGGGTTTTGGGCTGGCCTCAAACCCTTACTGAACCCTAAACCCTAAACCCTAAACCCTAAACCCTAAACCCTAAACCCTAAACCCTAAACCCTAAACCCTAAACCTTGAACCCTACCCCAAAACCTGAAACGACTTTGGGGCCGAGGGGGGATCTGCTGCCTGGTGATCTGGTCGAAGCTGTGCTCCTCAGGCCCTTCCTGCTGCACGATCTCCATCTCCTGCTTGCAGGGTTTAGGGTTTAGGGTTTAGGGTTTAGGGTTTAGGGTTTAGGGTTTAGGGTTCAGGGCTGGTTTATCGTCTGCTTATAACCTACTTAGAGGACTTAGGGTCTCATAGGTGCAGGTATAATTGGGGTTCTACAAGTACCCATGAACCTCCAAGTGGACTTCAGATACAACAAGGTTTCTAGGGTGTCGGTGTTAGGGGCTTCAGTCAGGGTGTTAACCGTACATAGCCTATACCTTTCTTGGGCTTCCGTGCTTAGGGCGTGCGGGCTTGAGACTCCTAGGCTTTCTGGCCTGAAACTCCACGTGGTCCAGGTCCTTTACGGGCCCAAGGGTCGCTGAAGAGAATGAAGCCCTAAACCCTAAACCCTAATTAGCCCCTAAACCCTAAACCCTAGACCCTAAACCCTAAACCCTAAACCCTAAACCCTAAACCCTAGACCCTGAACCCTACAGTGCTCCAAGCAGCCCCTCTACACGGAAGCAGAACGAAGCATTTCGATGACCGGCAACAGAACATGGAGCGCTCATCCTTATCCTTGAACCCCACAACCTTAGAACCCATAAACCCCCCTAAACCCTAAACCCTAAACCCTAAACCCTAAACCCTAAACCCTAAACCCTAAACCCTAAACCCTAAACCCTAAACCCTAAGCCCTGTACCTTGGAACCTACCCTTATACTAACAGCCCTTAGTAGGGTGATACTAGGTGGTATTAGAATCCCTACTACTTTGCTGACTTCTGAACCCCTCCTAATTTGTTTAACTTTTAGGCCCCTTCTTGTAGTTTCTACAAAAATCCAAAAAACCAAAGTCCTAAGAGCCAGAAGAAAGCCAAGATTAAGGACTGTTAGTATAAGGGGGAGTATCCCAAGCTACAAACCCACACACACTCAAGGCCCCAAAAACCCGTGGCCTTGACGAGCTTCTCGACGTCTTCCCGGAAGCACCTCACACGTCGGGCGTTGAGAGGTTTAGGGTTTAGGGTTTAGGGTTTAGGGTTTAGGGTTTAGGGTTTAGGGCTGAGAGTTTAAGATTCGGAAATTCTTGATGGCCCAGGAATCATCTTACAACAAGGGCACCCCTTTCTTGGCAGTTGGTTACTTAAAAAGGGAACCTTAACCCCCCCCCCACACAAAAAAAGGTGGCAAAAGTGTACCACTTCGCTACCAAGAATAACTTCTTAAGGCGATAGCCTCTTACCCACCGGAATAAACTCCTTGGGGGTCTGAGCATGTATTCGAAGTCCAGACGTAGAAGCCTCGCAAGCCCTGAAGCACCACAGCCTCAGTCCCAGAACTTTCTGGAGGCCTCAGCCTCACAAATCCTGATAAGCCTTATAAACCAAACAATGTTTTAGGGTTTAGGGTGTAGGGCAAAACCTCATAAGCCCTAACTCCTTAGCTGCTTAAAGCGCATACTAACAGTCCTTAATAGGGATTCTAGTACCCCCCTCCCTGTTGTAATCCCCATTCAGGAGCTGTTAGTATGAGGTCCCAACCCTAAACCCTAAACCCTAAACCCTAAACCCTAAACCCTAAACCCTAAACCCTAAACCCTAAACCCCCAATGAGTTCGCTCCAGGGGCTCGCCCACCCGGCTCTGTTCGTCAGCAAGCGGGACACCGAAGATCTCGCGATGCTCCTCAAGCAATGTAGGGCTTAGGATGCTTGGGGGGGTTTAGGGTTTAGGGTTTAGGGTTTAGGGTTTAGGGATAGGATATGGGGCTTAGGGGTTTAGAGCTTTAGAGAGGTTTGGGTGTTTTCAGGGCATGAGGGAAGACGGTCTCTGAATCTCTGATAGCGCTCCTAGGCTCCCATCGTGGGGGGTTTAGGGTTTAGGGTTTAGGGTTTAGGATTTAGGGTTTAGGGTTTAGGGTTTAGGGTTTAGAGTTTAGGGTTTAAGGTTTAGGGTGGGGGGAAGGGAGCGCCTTGTAGCGGAATAAGGCGCAGAAGCCACGGACACCATGCTCCTGCCTCGCTTCCATTGGACTGTGCGAAAGTTGGGTCTAGGGCCCAAAACTTAGGGTTTAGGGTTTAGGGTTTAGGGTTTAGGGATTAGGGTTTAGGGTTTCGGGTTTAGCGCCTGCCCAGAGCAGCCGGGGTTCTGAAGGAGATACTAACCGTCGGCTAGCATGAAATAGGGCTACTCTAGCCAGGGCTTACGGCGGGCCACCTCACAAACCATCGGCGCTTGCCCGCTCTGAACGGACTACGGCCATGCAAGACCAGTTCACTAAAGCGAGCAATATTGCCCTGATATTCATGTATGTGAAATCACATAAAATATGTGCTTCTCATACTTTTTACTTTCTGTTTATACTTGCTTGTTGATTTCCATCGATGTCAGGGGGGTACTTATGAAGTCAGGTCCCTAGTTTGAGGAGGAGGAGAGGAGGAGGGCGGGGGGGTGTTTTCGCTACCATGCTTCTTCGCTACCGAGCCCATACAAAAAAGCTCAAATAGGGGTTCCAAGCCAAAGTCCGAGAGACACCACGCTCCACTGCTCTCGGTAGAGCTCTCCCATCTGCCTTCATTCGTCTTGGTCTTCAAAGGCAAGTCTTGTTTGCAAGGGTTTCTTGGGGTTGGGGTTTAAGGTGCCTTGGGTTTAAGTTCATGGCAGCAAAGCACCCCCCCCCCCCTTCTGAAGACGCCACCACAACATGTATGTGATTTGTTGCTTTGTGTGTGAGTGTGTGTGTACACGGGCGTCCGTCATGAGAGTGAGAGGGGGACCTGAACAGCAAGGCACGCAAGAACCCCACCCCCACCCCCCCCCCCCCCCCAAAAAAAAAAAAAAAAAACGTGTTATCAAGAAGCTGCTCCTGCCTCCGAACAGTGACGGATGAGCCCTAAACCCTGAACCCTGAACCCTAAACCCTAAACCCTAAACCCTAAACCCTAAACTAAAGAACCACGACTCCCTCCTGAGCCCTCAAACCCCAAAAGCCACGCAAGATCGCCCCCCCCCACCCCCACCCCCCAGCTGCTGCCCTGCCACTTCAAGAGCCAGGCCCCGACGTGCTTCACGAAGTCGTCCGAGAAGCTTGGGGCGAAGTTGCCTTGGAGTTCTTTCCCATAGACCCCCTAAACCCTAAACCCTAAACCCTAAACCCTAAACCCTAAACCCTAAACCCTAAACCCTAAACCCTAAGCCCTAAACCCTAAACCCTAAGCCCTAAACCCTAAACCCTAAACTCACCGTTCCTGGTCCTTTTGCTGCCCCTAAAAAGCATGGGCTCCCATGCTGGATTAAGTACTGTACCCAAGAAGGGACCGCAATTTAGAATCAGCTGGTATACCTTTTGGGCTTCTACCTCTTCCGTGGGGGTGCGTGGAGGTGTGGGGGTGTGGGGTGGGCATGGGCGGGTTGGGTTGAGGTAGGGCAGGCTCGCCCTGCTGAACTCCCTCTAGGCCTCTATGCACGACAAACGCAAGCAGAACCCTCAACTACCAACTAGCTAAACCTTGCTACGTGCAAGCCTAACAAAGAAAAATGTCACTGTCCTCACCTACCAAGAGAAAACTCTACTAATTACTTCTTCCCCCTTCCCCGCGCAGCTCACACATACACGCCCTCCAAGCCCGGGGAACCTCGTCCCAAAGGGCTGATTTCTAGCACCATCAAACTAAGAACATCAACACAAGCCTATTCAGTACAAACAGGGACCCCCTTACTATACTAAGTGTAGTTAAGGGACTTAGAACCTAAGTTAGCAGCCTGATAACCCAGTCTAGGGTCCTTATAACTCTACTTATAACTGGAGGGTCGCTCCTTGTATGGGTGATCGATACTTAACTCCATCGTCGCACTACAGAAAGACCTGTATGCGATGTAATTGGGTTCTCAAGGGGTCCGGTACCCCGAAAAAGCGGTTGTTTGGATGCTGCCCTAAAAGCTAAACCCAAAACCCAAAAACCTAAACAGTATCCCTAAACCCTAAACCCTAAACCCTAAACCCTACACCCTAAACCCCCAAACCCCCAAACCCCAAAACCCTAAGCCCTGGCCGAATCACAGATCAGCTTCACCGTCGCCTTCGTCACGGACACCGTGATGCGCTTGGCGCTCTCAGGATCGCGGCCCAGGGCCTGGACGCAGAGCGGCATTTGCATTGAAGGTTTAGGGTGCAGAGGGCCTTGTTTAGGGACCCTAAGCCCTAAACCCTAAACCCTAAACCCTCAACCCTCAACCCTAAACCCTAAACCCTAAACCCTACACACTGCAACCCTGAACCTTCGGGGCCTGGGTGGGTGGGTACGGTCTACGACCTGCACCCTGCAGCCCGAAACCCCTGCCCCCCCCCTGAACCCTGGAAAGACCCGAAACCCCAAGAGCATCTCTCTCAGTGTAGGGTTTAGGGTTTGGGGTTTAGGGTTTAGGGGTAGGGTTTAGGGTTGAGTCCAGAACATCCCAGAAGAACCCCCTGCCCCAACCTACTCCACAGTTTTGAGTATAGATGATGAGGAGAAGCACCACTTAGGCAAACTACAAGACAAGTAGAACTCTACAACCAAAAAACCCTAAACTCTAGTCCCTGACCTCTATGCCCTAAACCCTAGCCCTAAAGCCTCAACCCTTAAGCCTATATAAACCCTAAACCCTACAACCTAAACCCTAAACCTTAAACCCTAAACCCTAAACCTTAAACCCTAAACCCTAAGCGTCCTTGGAGCTCATGTCAATAGTGTCTCGGACCACTTGCTCCGGTCGTGGGAACTTGATCCTGAGCCCGAAACAGGTCTTTTTTGGGGGGGAAAGCAGATATTTGCTGCCTACACTTCCCTACAGATCCATGGACCTATATAAGGTTTAGGGTTTAGGGTATATAGTATAATTTCTGGCGCTCTCAAGCTACTTCTTCGGAACCCCTTGAAGGCCCAAGTATGTCCGATGTAGGGACATGGATCTTTGGGGCTTGCTGGGTTTGCTAAAAGGGTTTCGCTGCACCTCGATACCGTCGTCCAGCGCTTCCCCTAACCCTAAACCCTAAACCCTAAACCCTAAACCCTAAACCCTAAACCCTAAACCCTAAACCCTAAACCCCACACATCCTTAGGTCTATGCCCTCGGTCGGGCTCTTGGCCATTTGGGGGCTTGCTTGTTTGTTTGCAGGACTCAGGACTTCTGGCTTGGGTGTCGTGGGCCTGTTTTTCAGACCTACGACCCCGAAACACTGGTTGTCATCGCGTCATGCTACGTACACGATCGTCGACTGCTGTGTAGACCCTGCAAGATCACAAGCTCCAGGACACTGTTTTAGGGTGCCCTGCGGGGAATCCCAAAAACGACCCTGACTCTATTTGTTAACTTCTGCCGAAGACGCGTTGTTGAGTTTTTTGGGGGGGGCATCGGCCACCCCAAGGAACCCCCACAAGAGCGCGCATCATGAGCATCAGCGGGTTGGGTCTCGGGTTTCGGATGCAGCTGCGAGCTTGGAAAACGAAGAAAACGCTGTAAATACCGTGGTTTTCGTGCTGTTACGGACATTCCCGTTTTGAGGCCGGCATATGCCCCCACAAGCCACGCATGCCTGGAGGCCGGAGCCGCTGATGCTCATGATGCGCGGCCGGGCGGGGGGCCAGGGTGCGCATCATCGAGGCTTCGTTTCTCTTTGGGGACCCGGGGGGCGAGCATCAGCAGCATCAGCGGCTCGCGGGGGGCGGGGGGGAGGGGTTTTGCTTTGGGAACTGCCATGCCTCTGCCTGCTACTCCTGGCGTTGCCCGCCCCTGGGCGTAGCCCCTGCAGCGCCATGCCCTGGCGGCTGGCAGACCCAAACACCAAGCCCTAAACCCGAAACCCACACCCCAAGCGCCCGAAACCCTAAAGCCTAAACCCCACACCCTAAACCCGAAACCCCACACCCCACGCCCGAAACCCGAAACCCCAAACCAAGCCCGACACCTTAAACCCTAAACAACCCCACACCCTAAACAACTAAACACCCTGAACACCCTAAAACCCTCAAAAACTCTGAAAAACACTCAAAAACCCCTTACAAAACCGTAAACCCTAAACCCTAAACCCTAAACCCTAAACCCTAACCCCTAACCCCTAACCCCTAACCCCTAACCCCTAAACCCTAAACCCTAAACCCTAAACCCTAAACCCTAAACCCTAAACCCTAAACCCTAAACCCTAAACCCTAAACCCTAAACCCTAAACCTTAAACCAAACCACGGCGCCAGCCGTGGTCGTCCATCCAGGCCAGGTACTCAGCCCAGACCTCAGCCTGGAGCTCGGCCTGCTTCGGGCTCTTAGGGTTTAGGGTTTAGGGTTTGGGGTTGAGGGTTTAGGGTTTAGCGTTTAGGGTTTGGGGTTTGGGGTTTAGGGTTTAGGGTTTGGGGTTTGGGGTTTGGGGTTTGGGGTTTGGGGTTTAGGGTTTGGGGTTTGGGGTTTAGGGTTTGGGGTTTAGGGGGTTTAGGTTTGGGGAACTTGCCGAGTTTAGGGGGCCTTGAGGGGTTTTTGCTAGGGGTTTGGGGATTTGAGTTTTGGGGCTCTCACATGGGCGGGTGAAAGCCCTGAAACTGTGGCGACTCTACGCCTAAACCCTAGACCCTATAGACCCTAGACCCTAGACCCTAGACCCTAAACCCTAAACCCTAAACCCTAAACCCTAAACCCTAAACCCTAAACCCTAAACCCTAAACCCTACCCGCGAAACCCTAAACCCTCTACTTGGTGTAGAGCAGGGCCCTATAGGGCTCTAGCTTTAGCATGAGGGCTTTGGGGCTTAAGGGGGTTTCGGGTTTAGGGTTTAGGGTTTGGGGTTTAGCGTTTGGGGTTTAGGGTTTAGGGTTTAGGGTTTAGGGGTTTGGGGCTTCGGGTTCAAGCTTTGCATGTGGGAAGGCGCAGCCTGATATAGGGCTTTGGGGGCTTAGGGCGTCTATCGCAGGCTTTTGTATATGACTTTGGGGACTTCCGGGCTGATTAGGGTTTAGGGTTTAGGGTTTAGGGTTTAGGGTTTAGGGTTTAGGATTTAGGGTTTAGGATTCAGGGCTGAATGTGTGCTGAACCCCACCCTCAGAACCCCCGAAAACCCATTTAAAGCTGGAAACCCTCCTAAACCCTAAACCCTAAACCCTAAACCCTAAACCCTGAGCACCCTTTTGCGAACAGAACAGCCCTAATTAAACCCGCTTCTGACCTGCAAAAGTGGCGACTGTGCCCTGTCTGTTGGGGTTTACAGCTTCTCTGCTTAGAAGTTCGGGGTTTAGGGCTAGGGTTTTAGGGTTTAGGGTTTAGGGTTTAGGGTTTAGGGTTTAGGGTTTAGGCTTTAGGGTTTAGGGTTTAGGGCTACAGAAGGCCTCTGGGCTGAGATCCATCGAGGGAAAGGCGGTGCCGCGCAGGGCGCAGAGATCCCACATGACCTGCTTTCGCTCCTCGGAGGTGGTCCTTGGATAGACCCAAGAGTGGCAAAGGAATAGCAAATACGGGTAGGAATTAGAAGGGTCCTAACCCCCCCCCCCCCCCACCCTCGTAAACCCCCTCATCATGTTTTTTTTTGGACTGGTTTGATGCAGCTTTCCATCCAAGCCCCTCACGCATTGTTTTGGACTGGTTTGATGCAATTTTGAATACGTCTCCCCCCGAACTCCCCGCAAAAAACAGAGACAAAGGGCACAAACTGGGGAGGTTAGCTGGCTGCTCTTGCAGCTATCTTTGAAGTCTTTAATGCTTGTGAAAAGCTCACAAACCCTACGACACAACACACCAAAAAAGAACTATGCGCCCTGACCCCTTCCACCTATGACAGGCTTAGTGGACGAAAGTTGGAGTAGGCAAACACGTGAAACTGTAAACTCGAAACCCTAAGCCCCAAACCCCCAAGCCCCCGCCAAGCTTCAGCCTGCCGAGAACGGTGCTGAGCGCGCTGACCGCGCGCTGCTTTACCTCATGAAGCTCGTGGTCTTCCTCTCCCACCTGGGGTTTAGGGTTTAGGGTTTAGGGTTTAGGGTTTGGGGTTTAGAGTTTAGGGTGTGGTGTCTAGGGTTGACTAAAGACACAAAATGGCATCCATAAGGATTCCCTTCCTTTCAACAACCGCCCCAAATCCTAAAGCGTCTTCTAGCATCTCTACACCAATATCCTCACTACAAAGAATACCCGCAACCCATTTTCAAACCCTAAGGCCTCTAAAGCCCTCCTAAACCGTCCTGAACCCTAAAACCCTAAAACCCAAACCCTAAAAACACAAACACAACGTTCGTCCCTAGACCCTGTAAAGGCCAATCCCACCCGACCCAAAAAGCCCCTCCCTAAACCCTAAACCCCCCTATAGGGCGCGCCTGCTCCAGTGAGGTTGTTATGTCGTTCACGAAGTCGATGATCAGCTCCCTGTCGACTTGATCGAGTTGCTGCAGCAACATATTCACCTGGTCGTCTCCAACTTTACAAACCTCCATGTGGGTTTAGGGTTTAGGGTTTAGGGTATGTTAGGGTTTAGGGTTCAGGGTTTAGGGGCTCAGGGTTATAGGGTCATGCCATGGCTTTATAAAAGGGGATTCACCTGGTTCTCTCCCAGGTCCCCCAGTCGGCGTTAGGGGCTTTGGGGTTTGGGGGATTAGGGTTTTTTAGAGGTTTAGGGTTTAGGGGTAGGGTTTAGGGTTTAGGGTTTCGGGTTTCGGGTTTAGGGGTTTAGGGGTGTAGGGGTTTAGGGGTTTAGGGGTTTAGGGGTGTAGGGGTTTGCTCCCCCCCTGGCTTGCCTTTGTGCGGATGAACTTGGCCTGGTGGGTCAGACGTTGGTGCCCGCACGCGGGCTCGGTCTTGGCGTGGGAGGCCCGGCCCCAGTCCTAGGGTGGCAGTGCTTGGAGGTTCATGGTACTTAATAACCAATTCTTATTTTCTACTAAACCACTTGTAAGCTCCTTACGTGCCCTAATATGGTTAGAAGTACAGTTAGAAGTACAGTTATATGTACAGTTATACTTGGTACCATGAACCTCGAAGTGGGGTTCAAGGTTTTGTGGCTTAGGGTTCCGGGTGAATAGAGTTCATAAGTAGAGTCAAACAAGCCCATACCCCAGTACCCCAAACCCTATAAACCCCAATCGAAACTTTGTAAAGAGTCCAAATCAGCCCCAAGCGTCCTTGCTGGCTTCAGATCCAGCGTCCACTTGCACGTTGATGAAGGTGTTCCTCATGGTGGGGGTAAGAATGCTTGAAGGTTTGGGTTTCAGGGTTCAGGGTTCAGGGTTCAGGGTTCAGGGTTTAGGGTTTAGGGTTTAGGGTTTAGGGTTTAGGGTTTCGGGCTTAGGAAGGGGACCATGAGGGGCTGATGGGTTTAGCTTTAAGGGTATTGCGGGTTTAACGGCTGGAAGGCTTTAAGGCACATGTTCACAGATGTTTGCCACGTGTAACGCTTGTGGGGTTTAAGTTTCGTGTCGACGAAGTGCAAATACAAGGACAACATCGAGAATCTTATGAACAGTTACGCGAACTACTGGGCTGTTTGACCTATCCACCTAAAGCCTAGTATGCCCCCTGAAAAGAGTACCCCAAACGATTCAGGGTTTAGTGTCTGGGGTTTAGGGACCTGAGCCCTGCACCCCAACTCACCCCAAGAGTGTAGGATTTAGGGTTTAGGGTTTGTAGGTGTTTAACGGCCCTACCCTTGCGTAAGCCCCCCTCATAACTCCTCAACCCTAAAGCCCCTCATGTCCCTTGTCCTCACACTTATGGGCCATTGTTGGTAGAGTGAGGAATATATAGACAGGGCCCCCACGCCCAGAGCCGCCACTTGGGGGTTTATGGGGCTTAGGGTCTAAGGCTTAGGTCTTATAATTAGGGTTTAGGGTTAGGGTTCAGAGTAGCTGCTATAGCCTTAAGGCCTTAAGGAAGGGGACGTGCCCGTTCATTGAGGGTCTTTCATGTTACTGGGCTTCTCCAGCCTCAAGCCCCAATTTATAACCCTAAGCTTCCCTAAGATTCCCTACCCCCCATGAACCCCCCATGAACCCCCTCCCAGAAGGACCCTATAAGCAGTGAACGGGGCTCAAGGCTCAGGGACTGCAAGCCTTGAGGGATTCTGGCCTAGAGGGATGAAGCCACCTCAAGCCCTAAACCCTAAACCCTAAACCCTAAACCCTAAACCCTAAAACCCTAAGCCCTAAACCCTAAAACCCTAAACCCTAAACCCCAAACCCCAACCTCTGAACCTTTGCCAAGGCTCTTGACTCCCATGAGCCACCAGGCGCACACATCATCCTCCTCGTTCTCCTGCAGTCAAGGGACTAATGGAGGAACCCTTATAAGGGACATTAGGGGTCTTTATGGTTACTTAGGGGCTGTTTGGGCATATAGGGAGTATATAAGGTATATATGTGCATATTTGTATATATATATATATGGGGGGTTATGTAGAGGAATCAAATTAAGGGTCCCTTCTACCCCTTAAATGCAGACAGGGTGGGACCTCTAAACCCCTAAGCCAGAGCGCCCCACACACAAACAGAGATACCTGCATATGCGTATTATTTTTGCTATTTGCGTATGCATTTGTTTGTGGCGATTTAAAGTTACAAGTATATCCGAGCAATATTCCTACTTGCACTCATGTTCCTGTGCTAACTTGCTATCTCCATATCCTTGGCACGTCCAACTTTAGTTCAACTTTATTGTCCTACAACATAAGTGCTCCTCAACAAGCTTAGGGTTTAACATTTACGGCTGCATGTACATCTGAACCCACAACGTTCAGGGTTACAGGGCTCAGGGTTTGGGGTTTAGGGTATCGGGTTTGGGGTTTAGGGTTTGGGGTTTAGGGTTTAGGGCTTTAGGGCTAGGTTAAAAACAAGTCCGCCGAAACCCGCCTGGTCAGAGCTCCCTGTCGCTTCGGCCGAGGGAAGCCCCGCGATGTCCTGCGGCAGTGGAGGCAGGCACCTAAACCCTAAACCCTAAACCCTAAACCCTAAACCCTAAACCCTAAACCCTAAACCCTAAATCCTAAACCCTAAGGCACCTAGGGGTCGGCCCTTCAAGTTGGGTTTTTCGGGTTTAGGGCCTTTAGGGTTTAGGGTTTAGGTTTCGGGTTTAGGGTTTAGGGTTTAGGGTTTAGGGTCTAGGGCCTTTAGGGTTTAGGGCGTTTAGGGTTTTAGGGTTTAGGGCCTTTAGGGTTTAGGGCCTTTAGGGTTTAGGGCCTAGGGTGTTCGGGTGTTAGGGTGTTCGGGTGTTGGGGTCTTAGGGTGTTAGGGTGTTAGGGTTTAGGGCTTAGGGTTTCGGGCGAATACCCTCCACACTAGAGTCGCAGGCAGGGTTTAGGGTGTAGGGTGTAGGGAAAGGGTTATACGGTTTATGAAAAAGATTAGGCGGCTGTTAATGGTAGGGGGGTTCCAGGGGCGAGTCCTAAGTCCTAAACCCTAACCCTAAACCCGAGTCTACACGCTTTAGGGTCCTCCGGGGGCTTAGAGGTGTAGGTGTAAGGTAAGGAGGCGAAAGCCTACCGTGAGAACACGTAGGGTTTAGGTTAGGTTTCGGGTTTAGGTTTCAGGGTTTTCAGAGTTTAGTGCACAGGGTTTGGGGTGTACAGGATTTAAGGTTGGGGTTTAGGGTCTAGGTTACGTTTACGGTTGCGGGGGCAGGGGGGGGGGGGGGTGCTGTTCTTGTTTGTTTGTCGTAAGCTGACTTTTGAACCCTCCTAAAATTTTAACTTCTAGTCTTTTATTGTAATTTCTACAAAACCCAAAAGGTTAAAGTCCTGAAGTTTTTAAAGCCTGAGATGGCCGTCTACAGCACACGACTGCTTGTGGTCCTCGGCATGGGTGTCAGGACTTCCCTGGGACGGAAAGGAAATAAGGCTCACTGAGGGCCTGGGGCTTAGGGTTAGGACGTTCCCCCTTCTACTAACAGTCCTTAGTCAGGATTATATAGTACCCCCCACCCCCCGCCCCCCCTCCCCCAGTTAGAAAACGGGTGAACATCCCAAGGCTTAATCAGGAGCCTCTTCTGAGCTGCTGCTGCCGGGGGCGTCCTCCTGAAAAACGGTCGTGGGCTCCGAGACTATCCCAACCTGAGCTACCACTTGGGATGTTCCCCCGTATACTAGCAGTCCTTGATAGGGAGGTACTACAATCCCTATTCAGGACTGCTAGTATAAGGGAGACCATCCCAATCCACCACCAACAGCCCGACATATGTAAGACATGTTTTAGGGGTTATTTGCGCCCTTACTTGGGGGTGAAACGCCGTTCAGGCAGGATCCCATGAAGTGTCGCCTCAGATACCATCTACAAAACCCCAAACCCTAAATCATAAACCCTAACATGTCTTACGCAAGCCGTGATAGCTCATCATTTGAAGCTTGTGGGCGAAAGCTCTGGAAACAAAAAAAGACATGCCCGAAAACCAAAGAAAACACAAAACCCTCCAAACTCTCAACCCCAGGCCATAAACCCCGATACTACTACAACCCCCAAAGCTCTCAACCCTAAACCCCTTTAAACCCCTCAACCCTCAACCTTAAACCCCTAACCCCTAACCCCTAACCCCTAACCCCTAACCCCTAAACCCTAAACCCTAAACCCTAAACCCTAAACCTTAAACCCTAAACCCTAAACCCAACCCTAAACCCCGAGGCTGACGCAACTCCTCCGGGCTGGCATCGCCCGGCTGGGGCAATAGGCCAGGGGGGAATCCGGAGCAGCCCTGGGTTTAGGGTTTAGGGTTGAGGGTTGAGGGTTTAGGGTTCAGGGTTGAGAGTTGAGGGTTGAGGCTTAGGGCTGTAAGGTTCAGGATTTCAGGCTTGTGCTGCTGAGCAGCGAACAAAACGAAGACATTCTGTGAAACAAAAGCAAGGTCGAGTGCATCATGCTAGCGGCAGTAGCTGCCTCCATGTGTCCATGTACCTATATATTTATGTATATGCATTGTATACATTTGGGCCTTAAAATCAGGGTCTGGCGTGGTCCATGGAGTTTTGTCTGGATAAATTCCTCGGGGGCTGACCCCTTTCGGAGAAAGCTTGATCGGAGAGATTTTGGGCCTTGACCCCTTCGGAAACTCAAGCTATTTTGAGCCTTGATCTCCATTCCTTTGGATGTGACCCACCCACGACTTCTTCGACAAAATCCACACAGGCACCTGACCCCCAGAACCCAATATGTCGTGAAAAACACCCTAAACCTAAACCCTGAACCCTAAACCCTACACCCTAATATAATCTCTGGTGCTAAGGCCTGTTGGTTCAAGGCCTTCAGCGACTCTGTCACCCGAAACCAATTCCGATTCCGGCTTCGGGTTTAGGGTTTAGGGTTTAGGGTTTAGGGTTTAGGGTTTAGGGTTTAGGGTTTAGGGTTTAGGGTTTAGGGTTTAGGGTTTAGGGTTTAGGGTCTAGGGTCTAGGGTTTAGGGTTTAGGGTTTAAACCCTAAACACTCTGCCCTAAACACATAACACATGCTCGATCTTGCTTAATTACACTGGACAGCTCAAACTGAGCCGGGTCGGGAGTATCCCAAACCCTAAACCCTAAACCTTTGACGTTTATTGGGCGAATCAGGGTAAACCGTTGCTGGGATAAGCCAGCGATAGCTGCCTCTGCGTGAGGCCCAGAAAAGCTCTTACCGCGAGTTCAATGCAAGATGTAGAGTGCTTCTGGCGAGCAGGTGAAAACTATTTGTTCCACGAAGGGGGATCTGCTCAGCAAAGTCTCCCTACTTTTTAGGTATAAGTAGCCATTACAGGAACCCAGACCAAAAAAAAAATTAAAGTATAGTACTCCAAAGCCCAGGTCTCCTACTATGTGTTGCAGCGGAGTAGGGGCTGCATTTGCCGAACCTTCAAGAAGATTATGAAGCCAGCCTCTCCCGTTCAGCCGAAAGCCTAAACCCTGAACCCTGGACCCTAAACCCTAAGCCCTAAGCCCTAAGCCCTAAACCCTCGTCTGAAGACCAGCCAGGGATCGACATCATCCTGCTTTGCCTTCTTCTTTTTCTTGGACTGCTGGTCCTCTTACTGTTGGTTAGTAGGGAATGCGGGTATGAGGTACCATATATCCGCCTAGATTATATAGGGTGTAGTATTGGGGGACATAGGGTACCTCATCCCCGCATTCCCTACTCACCAACAGTAAGTCCTGGGACACCGGACTAGGGTTTCGGGTTTTAGGGCTTGGGGTTGAGGGTTGAGGGCTGTTTAGGATTTAGGGTTTAGGGTTGAGGGTTTAGGGCCGTTTTGGGTTTCGGGTTCAGGGCTTAGGGCCAGATGGCTCAGGGTGGTGGAAGCCCGCAAAGCAAAGAAGTACAGAAGTCGATGTTTGCCCGCCGAACTCTAAACCTCATAGGCCCGGTAAGAAACGAAGGGATGGGCTTGAGCGTTTTCGCGATTTCCCTGAACCCTAAACCCTAAACCCTAAACCCTGAACCCTACAATGAGGTTTGCTGCGTTCTTCCGGGACTGACAGGACAAAGGATCCCACTTGGGGGAGACCTCAGGAGCCCCAAACCCCCCCAAAATCTAGACCCAAGAGTAACCCAGGAATAAAAAAGGGTGCCCTTGCTCGTTTAGAGGGGCTTAAAAGGGAACCTAACCCGCCCTAAAGCTAAACCCTAAACCCTAAACCCCAAGAAACAGGGGAATAAGGCCCTCTGGGTCCTAGAAATGCAGGTCCTTTGGCTTCAGAGACTTCCTGTGCACGCGCAGATAGCAGGGCCCGGGCCAGCCTTGAATCAGCTTTTCTTGATTGTTTTAAGCGGGGCTTGTTCGGGTAGGGTTTAGGGTTTAGGGTTTCGGGTTTCGGGTTTAGGGTTTAGGGATTAGGGGTTTAGGGTTTAGGGTTTAGGGTTCAGGGTTTAGGTTTCAGGGTTCAGGGTTCAGGGTTTAGGGTTCAGGGTTCAAGGTTCAGGGTTCAAGGTTTAGGGCCTAGCGTTGAGGGTTTAGAGTTTAGAGTTTAGGGAGTCATTAGGGAGCAAACTCTCGAAGTTTTTGGCCCTTTTGGGGTGCCTACTAGCATTTACCCCGAACCCTAAACCCAACAACCCTAAGTCCTCAACCCTAAAGCGCTTTCCTAGGCCTGCTCCTTTGCGGGGTCAAAGGGTCTGGCGCTTTCGGGGCATCAGGGAGGGTGGGATTCCATCTAAACCCTGTAATCCTGAACCCGAAGCCCTCTAGTCCCCAACCCAAAACCCTTAAGCCGCTTAAGCCCTCAAACCCTGCTCCCGAAACCATATCTGCAGCGCCTCCCCTCCCCCAACCAGCACCCCACACAGCAACACAAACAAGAAGATCCTCTCAGCTCTTTCAAGCCTCACTGGTTTAGGGTTCAAGGGTTTAGGGCTTCGGCTTAGGCTTAGGCTTTTGCAGGCTTTCGAGTGAACCGGGGGGTGGGGGGGGGGGGGGGCTCCACGTGACAAGAGGGCAAAGGCAGTCGTCAAGCAGCCAAGGCGAACTTCAACAAGAAAGTAGTCGTCAGCATCTTCCTGCTCCAGCGATGGCTTTCACCGAGCCCGAAGGATTCGGTTTTTGCAAGCGTTTTATGGGGCTGAGGGTAACCCCGGTAACCCGAAACCCTAAGCCCCTACACCGGAAGCCAAGGAGTTAAGCACAGTTCCCCGCGTAGAGTGTAGAACAACAAGCGCACACCCAAAAGCCAAAAGCCTCTTTGGGGGTGTGCTCGGCCTTCCAGCGCTTAGGGTTTAGGGTTTAGGGCTTAGGGCTACAGGGCTGTGGTTTTAGCTGCTGCAGCCTCAGGACTTGGGGGAGCCAGGTTGACGTGGGCTGGTCAATCTCTGGTTTCGGGTTTTGGGCTAGGACCCGTGGATGTAAGCCACCCTGACCCTGAACCTGAACCCTGAACCCTGAAAACCCTAAACCCTAAACCCTAAACCCTGTGCCTACTTTGGGGTCTACGGTCGAACTCCCGGAAACCTTGTGCAACATGTGTGTGTGGGTGTGTGCGCGCGGGGGGTAGGGTTTATGGCTTGGGTTTGATGTGGCTTTGGGATATCGGGATATCTTGGATGTACTAACGATGTAAGTCCAAAACCGAAGCCATCCAGCACCCTAAACCCTAAACCCTAAACCCGAAACCCTAAACCCTAAACCCTAAACCATCCAGCGCCATCCTGCACCACGCGCACGAGGTTGCCCTTCCAGTAGCCGAAGTGTGCCAGGGAGTCGTCGCAGAGCGTCGCCATGGAGCCTGGCTTGATCTCCTCCAGAACGAAACTGGAGTTTAGGGTTTAGGGTTTAGGGTTTAGCCCGGACACCTAACTAATATTAAACGCTCCCTGGCCCCAAAACTCGATCCCGTAGCCGCCCCATTCAAAATCACTACAGACTTAGGGCGTCTCGAACCTAGTAGGCCTAAAACTTGAAACCTGCAACTATGACAGAGCCAGGAAGCCACAACGACGGGCTGTTTGGCTATAAGAACCCACCCCCTAATACCAAAAAAACCTTTGGGGTTTTGGAGGGTCTTTATGCAAAGAGGGGGGGGGGGGGGGCTTGAATATTAGGGGGACGGGATTCAGCTTTCCAGCGCGTGTGCGGGTGTTTGAGGGAATGCTCGCGTCTTCGCACTGTCCATCTAGGGGTTCCACCTTGGACCCTTAAGGTCGCACCCCTGGGTGTTGGGGTCCCTGTTTAAGGATCCCGAAGGGAAGATAAGGGCCATAACCTTAGGGCTCCGAGTCTGAATCCCTTGAGTCCAAGCGAACAATGGGTTAGGCAAGCCCAAAGGGACGAAACCCTAAACACTAAACCCAAAACCGAAAACCGAAAACCCAAAACCCTAAGAATCGCTTCGCTACACATACCGTTACCGTTACACGCAGAGTTTTTCTAAGCGGTGCACGGCTGCTCTGTGTTGCTTTCTTTGCTTCCCGGAGAAACTACTGCTTAAGAACCTCCACCCCCAAAAAAAGAAAATGAACAGCGCGGAATCCCCATGTTGCCCTGAAAGGAAAGACTATTTTCGGTTTGGGGCTTAGGGTTCAATACTATTGGCATAAGAACCCCGACAAAAAACAAGAGATTGCATAATCCCCATCTTGCCCTCACAAAATGGTGTTTTCTAGTTTTGGGGGGGCTTACTTACGCAAATTGCCGAAGCCCTTTCGTATGGCAACTCTTCCTGCACAGTTAGATAGCGTCTGCTTCCGTGAGTACGAAGAAGGGGAAGGACAACCCCAGATACCATAGCTTGGTAGCCCAGTAACCGTATGTCAAAAAGGGCACCCTTGTTTGGGGTTGGTTGGTTTAAAAGGGAACCTTGAACCCATAAAAGGGAAAAGGGTACGAAGGCAATCCACATTATGTCGGGTCATGGAGCCAGAGTTCCATGACTAATGCAATACTGTTTTCAGCTCTTCTATACACAAAGTAGTTATTTGTTTTCCGTATGTTGTACTCAATGTTCTCTACTCAAGTCACATGAAACAACATACTTGCAATGAGAAGTCCACTATTCTTGATACCATCGGCACTTCAGTCCATCATTGATATCAAGCGGGAGTCAACGGGGGTGATCAAAGGGGGATTGCAATCGCCAGATTTCACATGCACATGCTGTTTCTGCAGACAGAGAAGGGAACTGTCAACAGCGTTTTCGCAGATGAAGCTGCTTCTAATGAGCTGACTGAAGGCTGCAAGTGTTGCGCACCCTAAACCCTAAACCCTAAACTCTAAACCCTAAACCGGGGTCTGTAGCTCGCGCGATGCATCTTTTGGAAGCTGTAAGAAGATGCGCTGAGCACAAGTCCACGAGTGAACCACACGGCCGCACTGTCAGGAGCCCCACATCACCTGCCCGGGAGAGTGCGTAGGATCCGTGCCTTCCATGTGCCACCCTTTCACTGGCGCTGCCGCTTGCTGGCGTGCTCCTGCTCAACGCCTTGCACGTCGCCCAGCCTGTACACCTTCGACGCCGTACCTGAAAAGACGGCCGTCTTCTCTGCTGCAGACAGGCCCTTCTTGTTCGCAACTCTCTTGAAGGCATTCCAGAGCACCGGGTAGGAGATAGAGCACTTGTCCATTGGGAAGTTGCTTTCAAACATACAACGAGACGCCGTGAAGCAATCCAGGCAATGACTGTCATATGGCCAGATGAGTTCAGCTGCCTCCTCACTGCCGAGAGGCTGCTTCCGAGTGTGAAGCCTTGGTAGTAACCATATCCCTAAGGGCCTTACTAAGGGTTCATGTAACTCTAGTACATACTTACTCCTCAAAGCTACTGCATAGGGACCCTTAGGGTATGTCAAAAAGGGGGCACTCTTTTTTGGGATGGGTTACTATATCAAGGGACCTTGAACCCCAAAAAAAAGGGAAGAGGGCACCACTGGGCGACCCAGAAGCTCATGGCCGGCCAATGGCATCAGGAGCCCACCCAACTTGACATGGATGTTCGGGTGCTTTGCCAACTTCACCATGTACTCCTTGGGAACCAAATGAACCCAAAAAAGGGTTTATGGCTCCTATTACCTTAACAGGAACTATAGTAGTTTTAGGGTATATGAGCCCGAATTTTAGGTTTAATTTCGTCCCCAAGGCTCCTTCCATTCCGCAAAGATCTTGGCGCCCTCTTCGCCAGCAAAGGCCTTAGGGCCAACGGCTCCCCCACAGTGGTCCAGCACAATCGTAGCCTGGGGAAACAGCTCCGCAAGGCCCAGGATACCTCCCAGCACTTTCTGAAAGTTTAGCGGGTGGGACTCGGGCCCATTCAAGTCGATGCTGAGACCCCGGGAGACAGCCTCTGCGACGCAGTCATGGAACCGCTTCTCCGTAAAAGGGATCTGCTCAGCCATGCCTCCCACGAAACGAATGCCGCGCAAATTGCGAGCTGCGTTGCGATGGGCATCCAGAACCTCACGCATCTCGGCCACACCTTGGGGGGGGGGACCAAATGAGCCCAAAAATTGGGGGGGGGGGGGGGGTCATGTACCCTATAACTTGGGATGTTCCCTCTTATACTAAGAGTCCTGAATAGGGGTTATAGTACCGCAATATTGGTTGATAATTAAGTGCCATGAACCTCCAAGTATACTTCCAGAAACCCTTTAAGGTTCATTTGGGTCCCCCAAAGGAACTGATGAAGGGATCGGCAAGCGCCACAATGCCGGCGCAGAACTTGCAGGTCCCAAGGACTTGTGACTCCCCAATGGCAGCAACCCCTTGCACCATCTCAGTCTCACCAACCTGGCTTTGAATGGGTTTAGGGTTTAAAGTGAATAGGTTTAGGGTTTAGGGTTTAGGGTTTAGGGTTTAGGGTTTAGGGTTTAGGGTTTAGGGTTTAGGGTTTAGGGTTTAGGGTTTAGGGTTTAGGGTTTAGGGTTTAGGAAGTGGGGATCGAATGAAGCCTCAAAGGGTTTATGGTTGACATGCAACCTTGGGGACCGATTGTGAACCCTAAAAGGGTTCAGGGTTTCGGATTTAGGGTTTGGAGCCAGGGTTCATATACCTTAAAACGGCCTTCTAGCAGTGACAGGGTATAGGAGCCCAGTTTTCTTTTTTCTTTTTGTTTTTTTTTTTTTTGGGGGGGGGGGGGGGGGGGGGGGGGAGCTCATTCGGTCACCAACAAGTGACCGGCATAAGGTGCCGTGGACCCGTAGCGCGATGGATGGCGTAGCACTGGACAAAGACTGTGGCAACGATGTTGTGCCCAGTGTTTACATCCTAAGCCCAAGGGTTCAGGGGCTTAGGAGGTTGAGAGCTCGGAGCCGCAGACGCCTGAAAACTAGACCAAGAGTATCCTAGCAACAAAACACCGGTGCCCTTTTTGGTCTAAAGGTGGTTTTACAAGGGAACCTAAACCCTGATACAAAAGGGAATAAGGGTTTCTTAAGGTTCCTTACACCCCAAAAAAGGGAATCAGGGCCCTAGCATCCGCCGCAAGCTCTCTTTCCATGTAGGTGACGATGTTGGGATGTTCGGCACGTTTCTTGTACCACTCGGGCTCATCGCAGAGGAAGAGGTGGTGATGGGCATCCACAATTGGTAGCTCCGGTTCGATGATCTCTTCCTGTTAAGGGGTTTAAGGGAGGGACCCCTAGAAGGGACCCTTCATCTTATTCCCCGATATAAAGCCCTCTATATAAATACCTTATTATAGTCCCTACATACCTAGGTAGCTCCTAAATGGCCCCCAAATAACCCCTTAAGGTCGTCTATAAGGGTCCCTCCTTTGGCCCCTTGATCCTGCGTCTGGTTCAACCACTCAGATTGGGCACCAAGACTGTACGTCCAAGGCTTCCGGCAAGGCGCTCCTTCCAAACTGAAGGGAAGGTCATTGAACGACGGAGCCTTTTCTGCCATTGCGAAAACTCGTGTGATATACCTGAACACCCTATAAACCCTTTAAACCCTAAACCCCAAACCCTAAACCCTAATAAGACCTCTGTTCTGCGGTCTGCCGAACTTTCTTGCGATCTGCTACCTCGCTCTCTCTCTTTCCCCGATCCCGGCTTGTGGGCAGAACACGGCGACGAAGGAATCCACATGTAAAGCGCTGCACATCCCGATTGCCTCTGAAGCTGCAGAGAACTCTCTTGTCAAAACGCTACTTGTCAGGAGTGTCAGCTTCAGAAAAGTGCGAACAATGAACTCAAAGCATTTGGTTTGCTCCACGGAGAAGGGACCAAATAACAATACAACCCTCCTTAAGACATCTGCTGCTGTTGTGCACGCGTCGATGAGTCATCGTGAATAAAAACCCTTTTCATGGCACTGTGTCTGGCAGAACACTTCCCTTAAACCCTAAACCCCAAACCCCAAACCCCAAACCCAAAACCAGAAACCCTAAACCCTAAACCCCCGTTCAGGCTTCAGGGTGGCTGTCCATCACAACAATAGCTGGCAGCCTCCCGACCACTACCTCTCAAACCCTCCACCCAGAACCTCGGGTTTAGGGTTAGGGTTTAGGGTTTAGGTTTTAGACTTCAGGGTTCCGGAAACTGAACCAAAAACCCGAAAAACTCTAACCCTAGATAAACCCTAAACCCGGAAGCTCCTTCATAAAAGGGGACTTGCTCTTTCGCAGGTTGCTGCGGACGCCATTCCGCAGCTCGTCGCGGAGTCTGTCGGGAACACCTTGCCCACCCCGTCAAACCCCAAGAATGTGGGCTTTGTTGAGGTTTGAGGGTACAACCACCCTAAACCCTAAACCCCAAACCCCAAAGCCCTAAACCACCCCCAAAAGAGGCGTACTCAAGAAGCTGGGAAGAAAACCCACAAGTTGCTTCAGATTAGGCAGAAACGACCTCATGAATTTAGCGGTGTCCTTAAGAGCCCGAAGCTGACTAATGATTCTGCAGGGCTTAGGGTTTAGGGTTTAGGGTTCAGGGTTCAGGGTTTAGGGTTTAGGGTTTAGGGGCCAAATAGGGTTTAGGGTTTTAGGCACTCCAAAGTCTAAAAGAACCCACCCCTAAAGTAGATTTGGGGGTGCATTGGGGTAAAGGTCACTAGGTTTGGGTTTAGGGTTTAGGGTTTAGGGTTTAGGGTTTAGGGTTTAGGGTTTAGGGTTTAGGGTTTAGGGTTTAGGGCTTAGGGCTTAGGGCTTAGGGCTTAGGGCTTAGGGCTTAGGGCTTAGGGTTTAGGGTTTAGGGTTTAGGGTTTAGGGTTTAGGGTTTAGGGTTTAGGTCGTGCACCAGTGCTCAAGCACCCCATCCACATGCTGCAACCTTCCTTCATTGAGGGTCAAGACAGAAGCCCGTACGCACGCACCCCTGAACTCTGAAAACAGATGATCCCCACACCCTAGAAGCCCTGAACCCTAAATCCTGCAAACGAACCCTGGAATTCTACATTGCCCAGCTCGGGTCGTCCTGCTTCCGCGCAGGCTTCCTCGATCGTGAGGTCGATGGACGTTGCGTCCATGCCAGCGCAGGCTACCAGAAGGCGGATGACGGAGTCTCTCAACTTGACGTTGCTGTCCTACGGGGTTTAGGGTTTAGGGTTTAGGGTTTAGGGTTTAGGGTTTAGGGTTTAGGGTTTAGGGTTTAGGGTTTAGGGTTTAGGGTTTAGGGTTTAGGGTTTAGGTGGTCGCCCGAAGGGCCCATGTACCTATGCACCCAAAGAGTCTTAAGTACCAATATGGGGGGGAAACTTACCCAAACCATAATAGAAATTCCTATTATGGAAACCCTGCTTTCTACTATGTAGGCACTTACGACCCCTTGGGGTTGTGTTTAAACTGCTAGGGGCCCCTTGAAGGCCAAAGTCTGTTAGGGTTTAGGGTTTAGGGTTTCGGGTTTCGGGTTTAGGGTTTAGGGTTTAGGGTTTAGGGTTTGCGACTATGTAGGTACATGGACCCTTTGGGACAGGGGCCATGCACTTGTGTGGTAGATATAGTTGGGACATGGAGCTAGTTTCAACCCTAAACCCTAAACCCGAAACCTATATACTATACAGGTAGATGGACCCTTTTGAGCTCGGAGGGTTCGAGATTTCATCCCTCCATTTTGCAACTATTGGGACGACCCCAAACCCTATAAACCCCAAACCCCCAACCCCAAACCCTAAACCCTAAACCGTCTGCTCTCTGCGACGCTTCTTGGGCATACAAGCGGGCCAACTACCCGCTCCCTGGCCTTGCTGTGGAACCCTGACCATAGGAATTTATGCGGTTTAGGGTTTAGGGTTCAGGGCTTAGGGTTTAGGGCTAAGCGATCATCGTAAGGCAGCCTTCCAAATTGCTACGTGCCCAGACTATCGCAACTTCACCTCAGGTCCTTGGCAGCAACCCAGATGAACCCTAAACCCTGAGATCTAAACCCTAACCCCGAAACCGTAAACCCTTAACCCTAAAACGAACACGTATGCTTCCTGCGGTGGAGGAGAATGCGTCCTTGATTTGCTTTCCTATGGCCTTCTCCATGGCGTTTGGCCGGATGTGCCTCGGACTGCTTGTAGTTTAGGGTTTGGGGTTTAGGGTTTGGGGTTTAGGGTTTAGGGTCTAGGGTCTAGGCCTAGGGTCCAGGGTTTCAGCGGGAGTTGGATGTACCTTCATCGGGTGCGCTCTAGAGTCGCTTCCAAAACCATTGTGCCATTCTGTCAGCTAAGCCGCATGAACATGTACGAACCATGCACAGCAAGCACGATACCTTCAAAGCCAAGACCCTAAACAAGCCACATAAGGCTGAAGTGGCGATCACCCTGCCTCCCCGAAACGCACCCTAAACCTAAAGCCACGTAACGCTGATGGGGAGACCACCGGCGCATTTTTCCACTAAACTTCTGTGGAGCCGATAGGGATGAAAAGGCCCCAAGTGATCCCTCTTTCAAAGGTTGGAACCATGGGCCCTTAGTGTGGTCCCTTACATTTGTTTATAGGGATGGGCCCTTTTTGTATATAGTGTATATAAGGGCTATATAACAGGGGACCTAAATTAAGGGCCCATACTATTCAAGAATCCACCCCAGAAACCCCATGGACCTCTAGGACTCTAGTACAAGGATTGGGGCTCTGGGCTTATCGGTGTATAGGGTTTGGGCTTGCAGGGTTTATTGTTCTTATAGGGCTTAGGGTTGACTTGGGCCGAAAAGGGGCTCCTATAAAGTAACTTTAGGGCCCAAGTCTATACTGTATATAGGGGTAGATGGAACCTTGGGCTAATCCACCCCTACCCCTTTCTCCGCTGGAGTCCAGCTAAAAGATCGAGACAGGTGCGTAGTTGCTGTCTCTAAAGCCTTTTTTTTTAAACAGCAAAGGGTTTAGAGATGCGTCTTACGAAGGCTATTTGCAGAGAAACTACCCACCTGAAACGGTCCTTACAGCTATACGGATGACAAGTCGGAGCCATTGGGTCATTTGGAGGGTGCTTTAAGTAACCCTAAGGCTCCATGTGCTCCATGTACCAATCTTGTACATACTTAGGCCTTAAAGTCCCTACATAAGGACTACTTTAAGGCCCTTAAGTATTATTATATACTTCATGGATACATGGACAAAAAAAGGGTGAGGCCTCCATGCAAAATAACACAGCCGCGCCGCCCCGACCAGTCATGAAGGATCCGGCAGGCCTGGTGCAAGAAAACCTAAACCCTAAGCCCTGATCCCAGAACCCCTAAACCCTAAACCCTAAACCCTGAACCCTAAACCCTAAACCCTAAACCCTAAGCCCTGCAGCCCTCTGTCCCGACCCCCCCCCCCCCCCCCCCCGCAAACCCTAAAAATCCTGCTGGCGTGTCAGGTTTTCAGGTACTTCGGAGCTCAGGGGGTCACGTGGCGCTTGAATGGACCCTTGAGTCTCTGTTTTGATCAAAGGCCTTTTTGGGGGTCGGGCTTAATTAGGACCCGGAAGTCTATTTCTGAGGGTTTTGAGGTTTCTTGGGGTGGGGTTTGGGGTTTAGGGGGGTTTAGGAGTTAGGGTTTACCCTAACTTCCACGGACCGGACGATTAAGAGCCCGTTTGGACACAAAGAATGAGGTGACTGGAAATAGGGGGGGGCTCATCTCATGGGGGGGTATTTCATCTTCTTCTTGTGATAACCATAGTCTAACGTCTATAAAGCCCAACATCCTACTTTGTTTACTATTTTTGATCTAGAAAACAGGAAGCCACAACTTTGAGACTTTCTGCTCTGGAGGCATCTGCTTCAGAGCACATACCCACGGGCCCCATGAAAAGACACGAAGAAGGGTCCGAAAATTGGCCTGAAATCTGCACACATATAGGGGTGCCTAAACCGTAAGACCTAAACTACCACTATCATCCCCACACCCCATAAGCCTGGCCTTAAGGGGCAGTGGGGGAGGGGCTTAGGTATATAGGGGTTTAGGGTTTAGGGGCTCGGGGTTTTCAAAGTTGACTTGGGGATTTAGGGCAGTTTGCAGGGTTTCGGTCGGTCCGGACAGCCGTAGCCCGAAGCCTCCACGAGATGTGTGCGGAGGTGGGCGTGCATCCCGTGCAGGCGCTGAAGCACCGCATCCTTGAGAAAAGAGCGCTTGGGTTTACAGTAGGGGTACCCTAAACCCTAAACCCTAAACCCCAAACCCGAAACCCTAAACCCTAAACCCTTAGGGTATGATGTTATTTGCTGCATAAGCTGGAATGGGTTTCGGGGACCACCTCCAACCGAATCCTCAAAGGGATCTTGGAACAATAGCCTGCAATGTACCCACATATCGTCGTACACTAGGGCCCTGAAGAAACTCCTATACAGTAGCTTGAGGGCCCCAGTATATACAATGTATCCATTGCATATTTGTATGTCTATATATAAATATTAAGATAAAGATAAATATAAATATATTAGGGCAGGGTCCGGCGCTTCCTAGGGCCCTTAGTTGTCGGAACGAAAACCCCCAATCGGCTTGTCGCCCCAATGCTCAAGGCCCAGGGGCATTGTGCTCCCTGCCGAAGTATGGACGGCTGTCGTACCTTTGTAGGCATGTTGATATTTATATATATATATATTATGTATATATATATATATATATATTGTCTGTATATGTACATATATACATATATACACATACAGTGCGTTCTCAGGGTTTCTTTGGTTCCCAAAACTTCCAGGGACCGGAAAAGCAGGTTTCTAGAACCCTTAATAGGGAAACGGGGATGAGGCCCCTGAATGCCTGCCAGTACAGGAGCCTCAAATATGAGAATGCTGTTTTTGGGGTGTATTATAGTAGAAGTATGTAGGGACCATAAGGGAATACTATGAGTGTTTTTTCCGACCCCTTTTTGGATGGGTTCATGGCTTGATGTGGTTTACCTCGGCGTGGCGGTGGCGAACGCCGTCTGGTCGCAACATCGTCTCACAGCGAGAGTCCACAGTCCAAAAAATCCTGGGCTAGGGCTTAGTGTCTAGCGCCCTCTTCCACGCCTCCCACCACAAAAACCAAGTAGTTGCTTCCATCATCTCAAACCCCACAACTAACCAACTGATTCAAACACAGTTCAATGCAAAGCGATGCTTACAGGTTGATGCCAGCGCGCTTGTCCGAAAGCTGACTTGAAGCAGAGGTCTACTTAGACATTTTGTAGACCCTAAACCCTGAACCCTAAACCCTGAAACAAACCAAGTCGCTTTCGGATCTCCGACTCCAGCTCCTCGAAAGCGCGGCAAGCTGCCATGGCTGTGTACCGGAGGGCTCTTTGCTGCGTGCTCTCGAGCCACAAAGCTGTCGGAAGATTCCGGCTTCTTAGGGTCTAGGGCTTAGGGTTTAGGGTTTAGGGCTTAGGGTTTAGGGTTTAGGGTTTAGGGTTTAGGGTTTAGGGTTTAGGGTTTAGGGTTTAGGGTTTAGGGTTTAGGGTTTAGGGTTCCGAACCTTTAGGGCGCAAAACCCCCTGGGTTACAAACGATGCATGCTTAGGGGCCTGAGGTTGCTGCGAAGTTTGGGTGCGGACTGAACCGCAGGAACTAGGTTTCCCAGTAATCTAGGAATAAACATATGGTTGAGGGTTAAGGGTTTGGGGTTTAGGGTTTAGGGTTTAATTCGGGTTTAGGGTTTAGGGTTTAGGGTTTAGGGTTTAGGGTTTAGGGTTTAGGGTTTAGGGTTTAGGGTTTAGGGTTTAGGCTTTAGGGTTTGGGGTTTGGGGTTTGGGGTTTAGGCTCTACTGCCTTCATTCCCTACCCGGAACCCAAGTACGCTCAACAGCGCCGACCTGCTCAATAGGCCTAGTAGATGACGTTTCGGGAGGGGCTGCTGGCAAACCCTTTAGGGTTTAGGGTTTAGGGTTTAGGGTTTAGGGTTTAGGGTTTAGGGTTTAGGGCAGTTACCTGGAACCTTAAACCCTTTTTTTGTTGGTGCGACTTGGCCTGGGGCCTTCCAAAAGGAGGCTCAAAGGCAAACGGGTCACTTCTGAACCCGATCTCTCGGTAGCCCAGTAGTAACCATACTATGGTAAGGGCGCCCTTTTTTGGGTTGGTTACTTTACGACGGAACCCGAAACCCTAAACCCTAAACCCTAAACCCTAAACCCTAAACCCTAAACCAAAAACAGAGTGAAGGGTACCACTGGGCTACCAGGCTTTGCCCAAGGAGGATCGGAGCCCACGGCCAAGCCGGGGCTCTGGTTTACTGGGTTTACAGGGGGTTTAGGGTTTAGGGTTTAGGGTTTAGGGTTTAGGGTTTAGGGTTTAGGGTCTAGGGTTTAGGGTTTGGGGTCGGTCCTTGATAATTTTATAAGGTGCCGTACTACAGAGGCAAAGAGGCAACTTAATGTTGAAAACTACTCATCTTGTAGCACACTTCACTGGGTGCCAGAACAGAGACCCTAGTATCAACCCTATAAACCTGAACAAAACCATTTAAAAAAAATACTAAAACACCCTATAAACACCCCTTAAAACCTAAAACAAACCTCTAAACCCTACTATAACCCTATACCCCTTTTAAACTCTATAAAGCCTACAAACCCCCTATGACCCTATAACCCCTTCAAACTCTATAAAGCATATAAACCAGCCATAGTCCGATAGCCTATCCGCTGAGAGAGAAGCTGTAGAACCCAAAGTTCAGTCCACGACTGCGCTGTTTTGGGGTGCCAGTTTAGTGGCGGGAGGCTTAGGGTTTAGGGTTTAGGGTTTAGGGTTTAGGGTTTAGGGTTTAGGGTTTAGGGTTTAGGGTTTTACGGTTTCGGGGAAATTCTGAATGCCTCGAGGTACGCGTTTCCCAGCATACCCCGACATTGGCCAGAGCTCACTTCTTGAAATCTCCTCACACACTGCCCAGTCCTACACTACTAGCTTCTCTGATGCCAACGCCTTGCCTTCGGCACAGGCCCACGCCAAAGCCGGAATGGAGTAATTACATCTATAAACCCGAAAAAAAACAGGTATCAGCCACCCTAAACTCTAAACCCTAAACCCTAAAACCTATAGACCCTAAACCCTAAACTTCCAACAGACTGACCGTTGGAAGCA